TCACGATAAGGCGAGGGAGTTGACTCACAGGAAGGTGCAGGCGTTGACTCACAATAAGGTGAGGGAGTTGAATCAGAAGAAGGTGAAGGGGTTAACTCAAAAAGAAGAATTGACTCACTGGAAGGTGAGAGATTCGAATCACTGGAAGGCCAGGCAGTTGACTCGCAGGAGCAGAACGAAAAGGTGAGTCCCAGGAGAATCCACGTGGCTGGCAGGAGAATCCCAGGTGAGTCTCCAACAGCTGCTGTCCCATATTCCCTCCCCTCCCCTCCCACACTACAGCTCCGTGCTTCTGCTGGAGCAAATGGTGTTGTCAGAAACTGGCAGTAGAGGAGGCTGAGAAGGCTGAGGAGGCTGTTATCTGGTGTTCAGAAACTGACGCTCAGTGCTTCTGCTGGAGCAACTGGTGTTGTCAGCAACTGACAGTAGAGGAAACTGAAGAGGCTGAGAGCTTCCTCTACTGAAGCTGAGAAGGCTGACAGCAGAGCGGAGGAACGGCCAGAAGAGGAGTGAGTGCAGGCCAAGAAACAGGCATGGGCGAACGTAAGGCAAAAGCGCAAAGGGGCATTCACAGACTTGATAACAGAAAGTGAGAGCAGCAGGAAAGGGCAAAAGCGAAGGAAGGGGTGGGTTTACCTTGACAGGCCAAGCCAAGTCCCATACTCTCCCTGGTAATAGTGACTGCCATCTGCTGCAGCGCCACCTCCCTGCAGCTACAGTTCCCTCTGCTGCGTCACCCGACTCAGATCAAGTCCCATACTCTCCGTTCCGTGGTAAAACCGACTGCCATCTGCTGCAGCGCTCACACGGCCCGTACTCTCTCTTGTGAAATCTTGTGGTTGGTGCCCCCTCGTCTTTCTGCCACTGCTAGTTGACACCAGAGGCCGAGTCTAGAAGAGGGGCGGAGGGAACGTGGAGAGACCACAGAGACTATGTGTTGACGCAGAGACGAGTCTGGTAGTCAGCAACAAAGAGATATGTGAAAACATACACTTGGAGACATTGAGGAGTGCAGGAGGAAAAGCAGGAGGAAAATGGTGGAGGAAAATGGGGGAGGGGGGTTGGGGAGAGATGGGGGGGAAAGGAGGCATGCAACAAGAAGTGGAACAAGAAAGAAGCACGGGAAGGAGGTGGGAGTGAGCGGAATTGAAATCGATCGAGCACATGACACCATGGCATGAGAGGGGTTGGGAGGAGTGTGGGAGGCGAAGGGAGTGTGGCGATGGCAGGCCGTGGCAGTTTGGCAGCGAGCGAGCTTGCAAGGGGGGACTGGGGTAGAGCGGGATGCGGGCATGAAGATGAATGCATTCTAACCCCCTACGACTCTATCTACATGCGCTCAGCTGCCTTGTGCCACAGCCCACCATCGCCACACGCCCTCACACTCCCACCCACACTCGCAGCCCTTCTGAGAAAACTTTGGATCGTATCTCGTGCGAACAAAAGCGCAAAGCGCAAAAGCGGGGTTGAGAAGGAGTAAGGGAGGAGACTGCAGGTGACTACATGAAGCACAAATGTAGCAGAAGAACAACAGCAGAGAAAGCTATGCCAGAAGCGAAGCCGTGCGCTGCACTGCGGTGCCGTGCGGTGCGTTGCGGTGCGCTGAGAGCAGGTGCACTGAAATGGGAGAGCAAAGGAGAGAGCGGGTGCAGTGGACTGGAGGAGCGTAGCAGGGAGTGGCTGCAGTGCAGTTAGGGGGATGCACATCGTACCATAACGGCAGCGACAGAATGGGCGTGGTTGCTGAGGACTGGTGTCGACTCGCGTTGACTGCTGTTGACTGGCGTTGACTGGCGTTGACTGGCGTTGACTGGCGTTGACTGATGTTGACTGATGCTGACTGCAGCCACCGCTCTGTGGCTCTGCCACCTGCAATCCATTCGCCTTGAGGCCAGAGGAGGACAAAGGCACAGGGAGAAGGAGATGCATAGGAAACGGATCGGCCTCGGAGCAGCAAGAACGTCAAGGTGGCAATGGAGCAGAAGCTGTGAACAGCGAGCATTGAGAAACTAAAAAATGGAGCATAGAGAAAACGGAGTGGTTGGATCGTGGTGGGAGGTGGGAAGAGGGGCGAGGGGGAAGGCGCATGGCGACAGTGGCCCACGGCACTAAAGCAGCGAGCTGAGCCAGCGAGGGGGGACTGGGGGACGCACGCATGGCATGAATGCACTCCCTCTCGCACTCATCTCTCCCACCACTCCCACGGCACTGCACTCTACATGAGCTCTGCTGCCATAGCACCATGGACCACCACCACCATGCGCCAAGAAACAAATGTGCCTTGAAAATTGCCAAGAGTGAAAGAGACGGATGGGGCGGAGAGGGAACTTAACTAAGGAGAAGCGTAGGGCTGACTAGTCTAACGGAGGAGCAGCAAGCAGCAGCATCACCGTTCCGCCCAGCAACTCGCCATTCCGCACGTCGCCGCCCAGCAACTCGCCATTCCGCACAATGTCGCACGCAACTCAACTCGTCGCCGTCGCACACCGTCGCGTAACCATTCTGCACCTCGTCGCACCCAGCTCGTTGCAATTCCGCCTGCACTGCACTCCATTCGACCTGAGGCCAGAAGATGGATGGGGAACAAGATACGGCGAGAAGGAGATGGAAAGGGATTGGCGTAGCGCTGCAATGAAGATAGAATGATGAAGCAGCAAGCATGGCGTGGAATTGTATGAGCATTGGGAAACTTGAAGCAGATGGCACAAAGGCGTGGGAGGGGTTGGGAAGAGCATGGGTGGGAGGCGAAGGGAGTGTGGCGATGGCAGCCTGTGGCAGTTTGGCAGCGAGCGAGCTTGCAGGGGGGGACTGAGGAGGAGGAGGACGCGGGCATGAGGATGAATGCATTCTATTCTAACCACCTACAACTCTAATCTACATGCGCTCAGCTGCCTTGTGCCACGGCCCACCATCGCCACACGCCCTCACACACTCCTCCCCTCTCATGCGAACTACAAATTAACTGAAAGACACGACAGTTTTAAATAAATCTGAAACGGGAGGAAAGTTCGGAGCACTTAACGAAACGTAGTTGCGGCTGAACTCAACGCTCTCGTCCGTCGCTCGTCACGGAAGCGTGTCGATCGCCACGCGTCGCCCGCCGTTCGCCGTACATCGTTGCTCGCTGGTCGGCGGTTTCGGACGCTATTGCGAACGTCTCACTCGCGGACGCCTTCCGTCTCCCGTCGTTCGCTGCTCGTCGTTCATCTCTCGACTTTCGTCACTCGCCATCCGTTCGCTTCTCGTCGTACGTCTGACGTCGTTCGCTGCTCGACGTCGGTCACTCGTCGTCCGTCTCGCGTCATCCGTTGCTCGTCTTCCGTTTCGCTGTCCGATTGAACGACGCTGAAATTTGAGAGCTGAAAGCTCAATCTCGCGACGACCAGACGAGATTTAGCAAGATGCGACGTAGCGATTCACCAAGATACTCTTAACCAAGACGCTCTCGTAAGCAGGACGCGGTTTAAGAAATTGCGACATCTCTCGGCTTGAGCAGAACGTGATTGACATCGCGAAGGCGAGCATCGCCGGTCCAAGCGTCCTGAAAAAACTGCTACCATCTTAAAATGCCTCGCTTTCCTCCTTTCCGAAGGATTACCGGTAGAGCTATTCACCACCACGCTCCTACTGCTCCGGTCCGTTTTCAATTATAAACGTTCAGGCTGGATCGTTGAGACAGGTGGAAACTTCTAGCGTCGCTTCTCCTAGGGTAACACTTGTCGCGAACGTCCAACTGCTTTCGCCATCAGGGTCGTCTCTCCTCAGAGTCTAAAACAGAACAGAGTTGCCTTCGAGCGACTAGAGTAGATACGATTTTAATGATATGGCAGTATTGCACCGGTTGAATAGTCTAAAGCTGCTTCGGAGATTTAAATCAATACTTTAGATACGACTGAGGTTGGTGCTTCTTGCAGTGAACGGCCCGCAAGTCAAGAGTTCGACAGAGAAATTAAGGATTAAGGTGCCTGATACGGCCTATGGGACGGCACCTTACGAAACTCAAGGTCCGCGAGGCCGCCATGGAACCAAGTCTGATGACGTTCAGGGAATAACTGGAAGAGGTGAGTGCGGTGGCAACCGACGTTTCAGACGAATCGGGTTTTTGCGTCTTTGCGCGGGAGCCGCCCAATTGAATGGTAGCTTCTGACAGCCATGCCAGTGATGGCGGGAAATTTGTTCATGTATCCAGCACCTCAAGATCAACTGGATCGAACGGTGAGAGGTCCCTGAGCATCAAGTCCAATTGCGATCCGTTTGTGCCGAGATGCTATATGGTTGTAACTTTGGAGTGTTTTGTAATGTTGTAGGCCACAACAAAGGATTTGTTTTCTCTTTATTTTGTGCTGTGCATATTGGACCCAGGGTTCAGAATTGAAAAACCCCTGTACCACTCCACCGCATTTGACTGGGAGCACCACCGAGTCGTACCGCACACGCAAAAGCAGGATTGTGGGGTTAGGGGAACTGCGGTTCCCGTCAGTGCGGAATCCCCATTCCTGCTCCTAATTTCCTCCTCATTACTCCTGACGCTGTTTATGTCAACTGACAATTATGATTTATCGCTTGACAGTATGACGTCTCCAATTCCTCACCAGTTCTCACTAGTGTCTCGTGCAACTGGCGTCGCGTCGCGCGCCGCGTCATTCGCAGCAAGATTCACTCAATCGAGTGATCGACTCGGATGCGCAAAGGCGCGGAACAAAACTTCCGCTCAAGCTACAGTTGGCCGTGTGCTTTTTGCATCGAAATTTGCAACTACAGGGATGGCGGAAACAGGGAGAGCGGCACCTGGACGAGGGTGGGTGGAATTCGGGGGAGTAGCAGCAGGGGGGCCAGCGGTAGTCGCGTCTTCAACTTCCGCAGAGGCTCCCGTTGAGCCTCCGCCGTTCGCGGTGACGCACAATGGCCGATTGTTAACTGATCGCGCCACGGGGGGAGATGATAATATCGCGAATGGGTGTACGCCGTGTCCCTCCAGGCCTCTAGCATTTCTAGTAGCCATGCCCAAAGGTATCATCACACCTTTGTGTGTTGTCAGTCTCTTTGCTCATCCCTTTCTCTCCTTGGGCCCAACAAGTCCATTTTTTAACTTCTCTACTTTCTTTCCCTTGCCTGCCCTCGATCCATTCAGGCACTCTCCCTCCTCCTTCATCCTTTCTACCTCCTTTCAGTTGCTACACCCCTGTCTGGTTCTCTCAGCAGCTCTCCTCACATTCCCTTTTCTATCCACCCTCCCTCACTTTTCCCTGATATTTCTGTCTGTGCCCTTCCCTCTGCTACTTCTGTCTGTGCCCCCCTTCCTCCCAGGCGCATACACCACCACTCGCACGTTCGGCAACGGTTCCCACCTTCTCCTGTGGGACTTCCACCTCGATAGAATCACTCAGTCGCTGCTGGTTCTCGCCGAAGCTCACCCGGAGCTGTTCCCAAACCTCCCGTCGAACCTGCTGTCAAGTCGCACCAGGCACATGAAAAAGAGGGCTGTCAAGAGGAGGGTCAAATAAGAGATCTGGTTGCTGATTTGCGCAAGGACATAAGAGCGTCCGTGTTTGCAGCTGTGCAAGAAATGGTGGAGTGTGATTGGTGGAGGAGGAACGTGAACGGAGAGCAGAATGGGGAGCAGCAGGAACAGCAGCAGCAGCAGCAGCAGCAGCAGCAGGTGGAGATCTGTCTGATGATACTTCTCTGTGGTCAACAAGCGTTCTTTGGTGAAGCTGCTACAGCTGCCACAGCTCCAGCAATCAGAGAAACAGCAGAAACCGCAGAAACAGCAGCAACCGCAGCGAATGCACCAGGTGTTGAGGTCTACGTGCATGCGAGCACAGTTTGCCCCACGAACCCCTTTTCATCGCACTCCCTGCCGCCACCCGTCTGTGCTGCTGTCATGGGGCCTGGCCGTCACACTCCACTCGCGAAATTTTCCTCATGGCCCCTGTGAGTGTGCCTTCCTTCACTCCTTGCTTTCCTACCTCTTGCTCTTCTTCCGTGTTGCAACCATCAATATCCTGGGCTTTGATTATTGTTCTACGGCACTAGAAACGATCTCTCATTCCCCTGTGTGCGAGCCGGCAGTCAAGTGCAAGGCTGCCGACAACTCCAGAAATCGTTTACTCTTTCTTCCTTTGTGTGCTAGCGTGCAGCGTTTGCAGGGTTCTGGAGGCCGCTAGGCCAGCAGAGGCAAGGGATGTGATTCTTGGTGACTGACTCAAAAGTTGACCGTTTACTGTTTTTCCCCCCTGTGTGCGAGCCTGCAGCGTCCGCCGTGCCTTGGAGGCAGCTAGGCCAGCAGAGGCAAGGGACGTGATTCTATCGAATGACGGTAATGCCCTCCTCGAAGGCATCACCTCGAACCTCTTCGTTTTGGCTCGGGCCGAGCCTACCAGGTACGGCAACAGCATGTACTACGTCGGATATCTGGTTCAAAAGGCATGTGATATTTGTTGCTTACAAGTCAGCAGATGTGGGTTTGGTCTCTATCGTTCTGCCATTCTGCCATCGTGTTTGCGTTTGTGATCCTGGTCCTGACAGTGACAGCAACTCAAGCCACGGTTCGCCCTGGCATGGATTCGACCTGCAGACGGCATCACTCGAGAGTGGGATCCTTCCAGGAAGCATCCGGCAAGCCATCATTGAGTATGTCACTACCTGCTGGTTTGCATTGGCGTTTATTTACCAGGCTCTCATCTCTTGTCCAGGTGAACGCAATGCACCACCTTTCGAAACATATGCCTTGCATGATCACTTGAGGCACTTAAAAGCCTCATCTGTGTTGCACCCTCATCCTCCCTTGGTACTTTTGTAGCACCTGCAACGAGAGGGGCATTCCTCTGCGCATCAAGACCCCGCAGTGGAGTGAGCGTGCCTTGTGGGTGGAAGCTTTTGTTACAAGTGAGTCGCCAGTTACACATTCAATAAGTGCCAACATGGAATGATGCTGCAATGATGCTCAACAAAGTTGTGTTAACATAGTCTACTGTGCTCACCCATCCGTCCCTTTCTTCATCCATATGCTCATCCTGTGTTAATACATGATAAGTAATATGAAAACTTATCGATTCCCCTTTTTGTCTCTCTGTACTTATCTTTTCCCTGCTCCCCATTGACACGAATGATCGGCCGTCAACAAGCCAGACGCCTTGAGCATCGTCCAGCCTGTCAGCAGCATTCTCATGCCTGCCACGTGGCCTTCTGAGACCACTTATGACAGCTGGCAGTCTGTGGACAAGTGGCTGGCATGGCAGGCTCCTGCACTCGAGGTGAGTTTGTGGTGACTATATGCTGATTCATGAACATATCTACTACAAACTCGACTTAACCTTTAGTGTTGTCTGCCTTGTGTCTACTACTGCAATTCTTGAGCAGGATGGTGTAGATTTCCATTCAGCAATCCTCTTGGTAAGCAACAGCCCTTTGCTCGCCTGCTTGTTCGGGTTTTCTTGTGAATTTGACAGCTAATACGTGTTATTCGTTCTTTTATTGCAGGGACATGTTGTTGATCACATGATTTCTAGAAGTGCAAAAGTTGATGCCATGTTAACAAGTGATGAGTAAATATTTTATTTGTGGAACATTGAAGCAAAGCAGTTGGTGCTTCTTTTTCTTGCCGCATCCGCGCTATAAGCCCTTATTTGCTCTGATGGGGAAACCAACACTCAGGCCATAGGAGCTCCTGAAGTTCGAGCTGGCATTCTGGTCTGTGAAACCCACCTTTGGTTTCCTGCTTGATGACCAAACCGCAGATTTTCTCTGTTCACTTCCATAACGAATCCATTTGCGCTGCCGTCAAGCCCATCAGAAAGCCCTTTAGTAGCTTGTATCGCGTCGCGAGGCGATGATGGTTTCGCATCGCCGCTGCAACGACTCCAATTCTGCCGCTGTTAACGCTGTCGCAGATCCCGTCGCAGGCGACCAAAACGACTCGCACGACTCAGATGCGACGAACAGTCGGTCAGGAATGGACGGTGGAGGTGTTTCGTCGGTCGTTAATGGTCGTAATTGTGAATCAGCTACTATTTTAGTTGGTGAAATATCTCATCACCTGTCGTTACCAGGTGACGCGTTAGCAGATCACCGCCACGAGGAGTTTCGAACACGCGAATTAGTGAATGAGGTAACGAATCTATGCGGCGAGCAGCGGCAGGAGGAGCTGCATTCGGAGCAGGAGCAGCAGCAACGCGAGCAGACGCATCAGCAGACGCAACAGCGACAACGAGAACAGAACGAACAGCAAAACCGACAGCGCAAGAAACAGCAGCAGCAGCAGGGGAGGCGGGCGTTCTGCGTGGAGTGTCACAAGGCGACGAGCGTGTGCATCTGTGACCGCTTCGGCGAGCCCGTGGACAACCGCGTGGGCATCACCATCCTGCAGGTGTGTCGCATGGGGCGTCCGCGAAGCGTTTACGTTTACGTATTTGCTGATCCCCAAACCCCTTGCTAAACCCGTTAGTCGTTAGTGCTATAAGTCCCTCTGTCGGGATCCCCCGATCTTCCTATTTCCCTCTTTTGTCCCTTTCCTCGCCTATCTTCCAAAATACCTGCTGGTTATCGCCTTTCCACCACTCCCCCTCCACCGCGCACCTCCCCCCCCCAAAACCCCCGTGCAGCATCCCACGGAGAAGTACCACCCGCTGGTCTCAGCGCGCATTGCGCTGCTGGGCCTGCAGCGCGGTTACTGTTGAGTTGACTCAGAAGGTGACTTGGTGACTTTGGAATCGACTCTAAACCCACCCGCCACCCCTCACCTCTCCCGTTCCAAAACCTCCGCGCAGCATCCCAAGGAGAAGTACCACCCGCTGGGCTCGGCGCGCATTGCCCTGCTGGGGCTGCAGCGCGTGCGCGTGGTGGTGGTTCCGCTGGGGCGCGGGCGGCCGGGCTTGCAGCCCAAGGACCCCTGCTCCCGCCGCACCCTCATGGGGCGCTCGGGGCGGGGGCGGTGGCGCAATGGCGCGGGGAAAACGCAGGGGCAAGGGCGGAAGCAGGGGGGAGGGCAGGGGGAAGGGCCGGAGGGACAAGGGAATGCACAAGGGGTGGATCAGGGGGAGGAGGAAGGGCATGGCCAGGGGCAATGGCAGGGGCAAGGGGAAGAGCAGGGGTATCTGGAAGGGCGAATGCTGCAGGAGGGCGAGGAGCCAAAGCAGGGGCGGTGGGTGGACCAAGCGCAGGGGAAAGGAGATTCGAGTGAGAGGGGCAATGCAAGGGGTGGGGGAGCAAGCACGGGCGGAGATGGAGGACTTGTAGTTGGTGAAGGGGGTGAAGTGAGAGAGGGTGAGTCGAGGGAGGGTGAGAAATGTGTGGAGAACGAAGTAGAACGAGAAGGGAGCAGGGATGTAGGAGCGAGTGGGCCAGTTGTGGGTGAGGAGCAGGGAGGAGAAACAACAAATGGGGCTCCAACAGGTGATTCAAGCTTCGATCTAAGCTTTGACCTCCTGCCGTTTGCTGCCGCTGATGGGGCTGATAGTGACGATGGCGATGGTGCCTTTGGTGGTTACCATGATGCTGATGGGAGCAGTGAAGAGGATGGTGGTGGTATGTGTTCTCAGGACACCACTGAGGGCACTACTGAGGCGGGGACAACGGGGCTAGCCAGCACTGCTTGTGGTGACGGTTGCTGTGATGACGGCAGCTGCAGCTGCAGCAAAGGTGGGAGGAGCAGCAGTGTGAAGAGCAAGGGTATAAGGGGCAGGAGTAGGAGGAGCAGCGGCAGCAGCTGGCATGTTGTTCCTGAGGAGTTTGCGGTTGACAACCGTGGCGTGAGGATGTCCCTTCTGCAAAGCAATCACAGCACATTATCCAGCAACCACTGCAGCAGTCACAGCAGCAGCAGCAGTTGTCCCAGCAACCAATTGAGTCACACGCATATCGATGACCGAGCTCTTTCAACAAGCACTGCTACTGGTAGCAGTAGCAGTAGCAGTAGCAGTAGCTCTAACCCCAAGCAGGCTGTAAACGAGGCGCCAGTGCAGATTCCAGAGTGGATTAGTTTGCCGCCCGGAGCTGCGGTGCTGTACCCCTCCCCCCGATCCAAAGAGCTGCAGCCTCCACAACCGTTCAATGGTGCCGAGCGATCCCCACCGTCCATTGGTAGCCAGCCATCTGAAGCGCTGAGACCGTCTCACTTGATCGTGCTGGATGGCACGTGGCCGAAGGCAAAGAGGATCCTGTGTCAGAATCCATGGCTGCTGCAGCTGCCGCACTACCATTTGCCACCGCATGCTGCTGCGCCATCAAGATATGGTTTCATCCGGAAGCAACCAAAGGTTGGCTCTTTTTTTTTTCTTTTCTTTTCCCTTTCTCTTTTTCCCCAATGTTTTCTCGCCATTTTTCTCAACATCCTGTGCCATTTTCTTGTGTTTGCACTACCCCTCCAATTTCTCTGCAGTTTGGTTGCCTGTCCACGATCGAAGCTGTGGTGTATGCTTTACAGATTCTTGAACCAGACAATTGTGCGAAGCTGGATCAACTGTTAGAAGTATTTAACTCCATGGTCATAGATCAGGTGAGTTGTTCCTGGTTTGCAAGTACTGTTGCAGTGTCTTGTTTCTCATCCATGATGTTATCCACTGTCTGATATTTGTTTTACCCCTTTTGTAGGTGGAGGGAATGAGGAGAAATGGGAAATCGTCACTTATTCCAGATGATTGGATTGCACCAGGAACATTAACGGCGGAAGTCTCAAGTGTATCTTCCATTTAATAAACTGCAACGATCGAACATTAACGGCCAAGGTGTAACCATGGTGTTTTTCATTTGATTCAATGGAAGACCGAATGTTCCACCTGTATGCTGTACAGTATTATTTGAGGCCTTTTCCTTAGTGTCACCGATCCAATCTGTTGTTGCACCAGGCCTCCAGGATTCTAGGGCATGCGACGTTGTGCGATCAGTGTCCGTGCAGTCATTGGGGAATGGCGGTACAGCCTCCGTTTTCCCCCTCGCCGCATGACCGGACCTGATTGGTTCGCTATGTTTGCTCCACACTCTCTCGCGCCAAAAGATAGAAGGCGTGGCATTCGAATTCAAAAGTTTCTTGCGGTATTCCCGGATCGCGACTCGATACAGTGGCTGGGAGCAGCCAGCCAAGTTCCAAGAAGATCTCGCTGTCAGCCTCACAACACAAACAACACAGTAGGACAAGGACCGGATGGGGATATCTGACGGTTTACCCCTAGTGTTGGTGAAAACAGCTTCAATTATCCAGACCAGACCGTCCATGTGAAGTTTTTTCAGCTACCTCCGCCGGTAGTGCCTCCTTCATAGGGACAGCCTGCCGCTGAGCGCTACATGCACACATCCCCATTTCCCCACCACGAACACATCTTCCCCAAGCACAGCTTCTCGATTGTCCTGGAGAGGTCTCCTTTCCCCCATGATACCATCCGCTGAAGGACGAATCAAGGCGTCTTGTCAAGGCGGGAGATAGTTCACAAATCTGGACGATACCTCCTCTCCCGCCTGTTTTCGTCCCCCATTTTGCGTAACCACATGCAATCCCTAGGTAACTCATGCCAGTAATAACGCGTCTACACCCTCATCCATATCGGTAATGCACGACAACACTGGTCAAGAATTAAGCTGGTCGAGTAATCTGGACTGCTTGTGCCTGGTGAATACTCGGCCTCCATGCTTATCCACCTAGACTGACTGGCTGATCACGAGACTAATCTTAGGTGATAGAGAAGCTGTTGCCGACTGACCAAGTTTCTACGACAGGACTAACTCTAGCTCGAAACCTACACCGTCCGATGCTAGAGTAGCATGGCTCAGCAGGATTACGATGGATTTGTTGTGTCCGGTGTCGACATCAACAGCCTTTGCCATCAATGAGCAGCCAGAAATAAGGTGCTGACGAAAGTAGGCTCACGAATTGCCTTTTTGTTTTCTCTGACTCTCGAGATAGACACTGATACCAGCTCCGTGTGCTCGCAGGGCTTATAAGCTTGGCAAGCAGAAATGCTCGTACAACCAGGTAGAGCTGATATTTCTCAATGAGGATTCTCGCTCTTCGAAGGCCGAGCTTTCCCTGACCGAGGCTATCGAGGTTCCGGTTGGAAGCGAGGTGGATACCTTTCTGCACGAGGGTACCCTGAAGTACAATCTGCGATTTCAGGATGACAGAAGAATGCGACTTTACGTGTTCCTGGTCTTCGCGAACCATCATGGAGCGACATTCAAAACTCAGGCTGAGTACCACTGGGTACCTGTTGTCCGGAGTCAGTGCACTAAGGGTTGCATCGGTCCCATTCTGAAAGGGTTGCAGAGGTTCGGACGATTATCACGGCGTAGCGTAGTCGCTTCTCCTGATGATCCTGATGTGTGGAAGGAACCCCGGCATTTGTATATTGCCATTGACGAGGCTAGCACGCACATACGACCCTGTTGTAACACTTCGAAATTTAGGCTTCTGTTTGCGTTTTACTCAGAGTCTCAGCAGTTTCTTGGGAGCTCTATTTCCAGTTCCATCAAGGTCGTCGCCAACAACGATGCGCCGCAAGGAGCAGCGAACTTGCAAGTCAACTGCTTCTTGCAGGGTATGTCTCTCCCGTCCTTCTCGCTCACATTGGTCAGTTCGTGCAAGATCTAATCGTCGCTTTCTCGTTGTTCAGGGCTGAGCAGATTTGACGTCAGAGCATCAGGACGAGATCGCCCACCTTTCAAAGGTACTAATTAGGTGTCATCACTCTGCTTGCAAGACGCAATGCTCCGCATAATGTCCTGACGGCTCTACCTTTGTGTGCGCCTCGCTCTTCTGCAGCTCTCCTACCAAAAACCCCGAGATTCCACCCTAACGTCCCTGACACGAGGCCTCTCGCATCTGAGGTAGGCGCGCCTGATGGTTGCTTGCGTTATTCGTCCACAAGGAAAAGCTAACAATACCTTGTTTTACATGCTGCAGGTTCCCATCTGTTCTCCACTTCTTGGTGCACAAACGGCCTTGCCGTTGACACCAGGTTCAGGCATTAACCATTCAGATTTTCATCATCGTCAAGGAAGAGCCTACCTTCCACCTTTCAGCCCGGTCCCTTTTCCGACTGCAGCCATCACAGGCACTCCACAGCAACACAGGCCAGAGGCAGGTTTTGGGGAGGATAGCTCAACAACGGGTTCACGCAATGATGCAGCTCATTCACACATATCTCCCCACCCTATAGACGTGGTAATGCGCATAGGAGAGGGTGAGATTTGCTGACTTACTGATCAGTTTCTTACTCAATGTTGTTGTTTCTTGCCAGGAGAAACGTTGTGCTGAGTTCGACAACCAAGAAGATAGCATCAGAAAGGAGCACTCGTTGGGTGCTTTGGCCCATATGTAAGTCAAGCCTTCGGTTCCCTCGTTCCTTTTCAAGAATATAACTCCGTAATCTGAGCTCTACCACTTACTTCTACTTCGTTGCCCTCCTCAGAGTCGTTGGAGCCTGTCTGATGAAAGAGGGGGGCAAGCTGAACCTCGAGGAATTGGAGAACCTCCTAGGTAAGCTAGTTCGCCTATGGAATCAATCCATATATATGAGCTTTTACATTCTTACGATGGCCGTGCCTGCAGGGATACGACGAAGAAAACTGTATGACATTTTCAACGTCCTGGAGTGTATCAGCATAGTAAAGAAACAAGGCAAGCATGAGTATCTGTGGATCGGATCAGATGGCATTGGTGAAGCTCTTGCCAGAATCAAGGTGTGTGCTGAAGTTTTTTTTGTACTCTTTCAAGAATCATACATTGCTCTCAACTGATAGGGGTTCGTTTGCAGGGCAACGCCATTGCTGGTGGAGAAGGAAGTACGAGCGCGGGCGTGATCTCACTGCAGGGCAATAACACTTTTTCTGAAAAATCATCACCAAGAACGGCAGACCCACAATGTGATGGTTCAGGCAAGGACATTGAAGTCAACCCAGATGCAAGAAGAGGGTCGATCTTGACGAATCTTGGAGAAAAGTTTGTTCAGCTCTTTCTCCAAAACACGGTATGTTTATATCAACGAATATTCCCAGCTCCGTTCATATAAGTTAGACTGAACACTTGATTCGCACTTACTCTTCGTGTTTTCTTGTTTGCAGAATGCAACCGTATGCTGGGAAGACGCAGCTGAGATGTTGCTCGACCAACCAGATGATCGATGTGAGCAGTCACCACAATGCCACTTCTTTCATTCCGTCATGCTTCTCACTAACGTCATGATTGTTTATATGCAGCTCGTATCCGGAGGCTATACGACGTGGTGAACATACTGAGTTCAATTAATTTGATCGAAAGGGTGCAAGAGGCCCCTGCCACTGAACAACCGCAATCCACCATTCCCAAGTCACATTACCGCTGGATTGGAGCCAACGGCCCTCAGCAATGTTTTGAGGGAATCATCAAAGCATCTGAGTCCGCGACAAACCTCTGTCAGCGTCCATCTGCTACTCCAGAACCTGCTTCGAAGACTGGAATTACCCCCGCCAAGAGAGACCGCGAGCTTCCATCTATCACATGGCGAGTTGTGCAGACTCCCCTTCGCATGCCTTCGGCGGAGGTCCAGGAGGCATTTACGGCAAGATCGGGCATCTCCATCTCAACTCCTGGTGCAGCACAACCACAAAGCCATGCTCCGCGTACAACACAACAGCTCCATCAGCAATCACCAGTTGCATCCAACATTCAGTCTCAGCAAAGGCAGCAGCAGGGTAAACAATTGCAGACCCCTGCTAAGCTGATGGGGGTTGGGAAGAACGTCTTGGAGCCATCAGGCCTTAAACGTTCTGCACAGAAGAAGCAACAGGCGTTGCGGGCACGGCATACCACAGAGCCCGACCGCGAACCAGTAAGCCCTGCTGAGCCTCTCATGAGAAACATCGCCGGAACTCTACGGCTCCGAATTACTGATGGAGTTGCTGTACCTGATGAGGCTGGTCGAAGGTTGCTGACTGGTGAAGATGGCGAAGCCTCAGTCCCTCCAAGCTCTCTAGCAGGCGTCAGGCGGAACGAGTCCTCTGGAAAGCTTGTTTCTTTGACCTCCTTCATGCAGAGCTCAGCTGGAGGGCCAGGCCAGACGTCTGCACAGGAAGCAAGAGAAGCATGCCCAAATTCGTCGTCACAACGGGAAGCAGCCCCAAGCCCTGGTGCAAGGCAGGCTGGAGGAAGTTCTCCAAGCAAGAGGCCGAGATTGTCCGTTCAGCCGCATGCTGAGGCTGGCCAGCCAGTACTCCCTACCGGTGCAACTCAGCCTTCTGATGCACAAACGTCTGAGCTGGGGCTTGATCTATTGCGGCCAGTTGCACGAAGGCCAACTGAGGCAGATCTCGGCACACAGGGGGTTGTTCCTATGTTTCGGGCAGATGGTGGGCATGTGCAATCATTGCCTATGCCTCTTGGGCTAGGCACTGCTCCGGAAGCAGGCTCAGCTATGGCAATCGCTGCAGCTGCCGCTGCTGCTGCTGTTGCAGCAGCAGCGAGTACAGGGGGTGGAACATTTCCACGTCCAGCCATGCCAGGAATGCCCCAAGCGTTCCCAGGACCAGCTTCTGCATCTTTGCCTCTTTTCCGGCCAGGACTGCTTCATGGTACCCCACTGGCAGTACCTCCGCCTGGAGGTATTCCCGAGGGAACGTCAATGCCAACAGGGCTGATGCCAGGCGGAAATCCCGCATCAATTGACCCTCTGTTGTGGCTACCCCACCTGTTCAGCCCTTCGCAGCTTGCTGTGATGCAGTTTCAAAACCCAGGTGATGCATCTTCCATTTGTTCCCTGTCCGTTCATTTTTATGTTGGAACGTTTTCTAATGTGGTCCCTTTGCCTGTGTGCTACACTGCAGGCTTCATGAACTATTACCTGGAGTATTCGAGAACACTCTTCTCATTATATCAGCCCGGTTCCGTCAACACATCTTCACCACCATTTCCACCCTCACCCATGCTAACAGCATTACCACCCTCAGTCACACCGCCCTTGCTACCACCCTTGCCAGCTGCTATTCATCCCTCGTACCTCCACGCTTCCCCCTCAGCACCTTTTCCTCCTCGCCCACCTCCAGTCCATATCCCTATATATACAGCAGCTCCCACGGGCTACCAATTTCTCCTTCCACCCACTATACATAGCACTGCAACATCAACACCTGTGGAGGCTGAAGCCCAGGCATCGTTGCCTGCTCCATCCACACCGAACCTTGTTCCATCAGGGAGCCCTCTGAAGCCCAGTCAGTTGCAGCTCTCATTATCAAGCGAAGCTCTCACTTCCAGGGACGCTGCTGGTCGTCAAGTGACAGGATCAGCACCTGCAAGACCACCTCCTGAACAGCCACACACGAATCTTGAGCTAGGTTTGGCCATTTGCACAACCACGTCTCCACCAGCAAAGCAAGCAGATGGCACTGATAAGGGTCGAGGTGAAGAAGAAAGCTGCCAGCCAGCTTCACTACTTGGAGAGGCAGAACCTAATGGTGCCAAAAGTTCTCCAGACCCTCAAGTCACACCTATCGGGGATGCAGCGGAAGGGACCACGTTGTCCAATATCATCACACAGAAATTACTATAGACGTAGGGGTATTTGATTAGGTAGGCCAATACTAGGAGTAGGACTGGTGGAACACTGATTTTGCACAATAAGTTTATTGATCAAATGGGCTAATATTGTTTTGTTAAAAAAAAGCAAATTCTAATGCGCTAGCTTGGTTGGATACTATGCCCCAGCATAATGTATTAATTCGCAACCAAAGAAGAATGCTCATAAGACATGACAAAGGTACACATTGAGGATCTTGGACAGGTGAATACCTTCTACAAGTACAGAGTTATCATTTTCTTTGATGCTGTTGCAGAGGGCCAAGGGCTGTGCATTGCAATGCTGTTACAGCAGGCTATAGAATGCACGCACCGTGCATGGAGCCTACCAAACTCAAGGCAACGACCATGAGACCTGCTAGTGCTAAGAAAACCGGTGCACTGCTTGGGCCTACACTACATACCACTGTTGGCTTCATTGAAGATATGGCATCTAAAACTGTTACTTTGTATCGCTATCGATCAATCACTGCCTTTAACATGCTGGGGGTTATCGAAGCTGCTGCTGCTGCCGCAAGAACCCGATTATTTCTTCAAAGCTTGGCCGCAGCGAAGACTCACTGGAGGCACGGGGAGAGGAGTGAGGGGGGGAGGGGTGGTGAGAGAGGGGAGGGGTTGAGAAAGTTGCAGATGCAAATCAGGCCATTAAGAAAGTGATGGGATGAAAGAGAACGTCCAGGGAACACTAGGGAGCAGGACAGAGCAAGAAGCAGTGAGTGAGAGGGGAGGCATACTCGCTCCAGCATGACTTGATGACTGCTGCGACTCTGCTGTCAATCGTATCAGGCACTTCCAGGCGCCTGTTCTGATACCCCACTGCTCCCACCACCTGCCATACACACATGCAGAGAGGAGCAAAGGCGTGCACCTGAGGGCATGACTTGATGACTGCAGGAACTCGGCTGTCAGTCCTATCAGGCACACGAGGAGATCACTCAAACCATACCTGAAAAGGAAAGTAGGAGCACTTGAACCCACCTGAAGGGCGTTGAGACCCGTCCATGGCTGCTGCATGGTTGCTAGCTCCCACAGGATCACACCAAAGCTATACACATCCGCCCTGCACTCATGTGAGGAGAGAAACAGGGAAAGAAGCAAGCGCATTGAGTTCTTCAGGGTAATAGAACAAGTTGAGAAGAAAGGCTAGCATTTTATATTAGGGCGAAAAAACTCATATATAGAAGGAGAAGCATCAATGCTGGTTCAAGAGGGGAAATGATAATGATAATAAGGGTAGGATGGGCAAAGACTCACTTTTCATTGGAGGGTTCGTTGCGTAACACTTCTGGAGCCATCCATTCAGGCTGCAATAGATGGGCATGGGCAACCATGCACGCACATGCCATGCCATCATGTCCATGCACACACCATACCCCATCATGAACCATGCAAGCACATCCCATGTGACAGGTGGAAATATTTAGCAAGAACATGCGAAACCCATCAACAATCTGGTGAGCCTGGAAATTAAACTCGCTCTTCCTTTTCTTGCGATTTTCAGAGGCGCTTTTTAAACTTCTTGAGAAACTTAAACTCAAGTAAGCCCACCCCTGGCCTCCCCCATCCCCCTCCACCCTCTCTCATCCCCCTTCCACCCACCCCTTCCCTCCTTCCCATCTCACCGTGCCGGCACCAGAGCGGGTGGAGAGAAACGTTCGATGCTTCAATCTGGAAAGCCCGAAGTCGCACACCTGGGGAGGGGGGGGGGTAGGAGTGTCGGGAGGAGAGGGTGGGGGAGACAGAGGTTGGAGGTCATGCCGTGCCGCTTGAAAACATAAACATTGTATAGACACACCTTGACATCACACCCCGTATAGTCACAACCACACCCACACCCACACCCACTACAGTCACCCATGCCCACTACAGGCACACACACACCTTGACGGTCCAGTCCTTGTCCACGAGCAGGTTGGGCGTTTTGAGCTACTCTTGGCTGTCTCTCCCACGCGCACTGCACACACAGACATTTACTGTCACGCCCATACCCCCTGCGCTACAGTCACACCCACTGGAATCACACCTTGACGGTCCAGTCCTTATCCACGAGCAGGTTCGGCGTTTTGAGGTCCCGGTGAACGATGGGAGGCTTGCGCTTGTGTAGGTAGTTCATGCCTTTTGCCTGGTGGGTGGAAGGAGTAAGAGGGAAAGCAAAGTGGGGGGTGGGGCAATGATAGCAAGTTAGCAACTGAGGTCCCGGTGAACGATGGGAGGTTTGCGCTTGTGCAGATAGTTCATGCCCTTCGCCTGGCAGGTGGGGTGATGGCGGATGGGAGATGGGAGATGGCAAGCAGTGTATGGAGGGTGATGGGGGGGTGGGGCATGGGGAATGGGGGGTGGGAACGACAGTAACTGGTTCCGGTGCACAATGGGTGGTTTGTGCTTGTGCAGGTGGTTCATGCCCTTGGCCTGGATGGTGGGTGGTGGAAGAAGTGACTTTTGAGTCGGCTCAAAAGTAACCACGTTGGTGAATGTTGGGTGGCTTGCACTTGTGCAGGTGGTTCATGCCCTTTGCCTGGTGGGTAGGTGGTGGAAGCGGGATGGGTGAGCGATGGTGGATCGATTGGGGATGGGGGTTGGCTGTGTGTGAATGCAATATACATCCCATGCACATCCCACCCCACCCATGCACATCCCACCCCACCCATGCACATCCCATCACCAAAGCACATCCCATCACCAAAGCACATTGCATCACCAAAGCACATCCCACCCCATGCACGTCCCATTCCACCCATGCACATCCCATCCCACAAGCACCTTGCTGCACCGCATCTCACCACATCAAGCGCAAAGCTCAGTCTCCGCTGAGGTGTCAGCTCGCGATTGGGCTGCTGCAGCAGCCGGAAGATACTTCCCCTGCAAGACACACCGGCAGGCGAAACATACAAATTGAAAAAGGTCGACTTTTGAGACGTCTCAAAAGAACACACGGGCAAGCAAAACATACAACATTAAAAAGGTCACTAATCCAAACGCCAGAGATACCGCCAGCAGAACTCTTCAGAAATTGCAAACAAAAAACTCATTTGAGGAGGTTTGACACGTCCCATAACGATAACTCAAAGGCCAGACGTACCGGGGGCAGAACTGGATGACTATAGAGAGAGAAGTGAGGCCTAAGGAGGTTTGACATTTGTAAAAACTTAAAGGCTGCGGGCAAAATTTTGTGACTATAGAGAGGGAGGCAACCACCTAAGGAGGTTTGGTTGCCACGTAGCAAAAAAAACCTCAAAGGCCAGACGTACCGGGGGCAGAACTCGGTGACTATAGAGAGGTGGGGCGGGCGCGTGACAGCACCCATGAGGTAGAGCACGTTGGGATGGCGTGCCTTGAACATAATGGCCACCTGATTGGAGGGAGGGGAAGGTGGGCGGAAGAGGGGAAGGGATAAGGACAAGGAGGGGAGCACGGATGCACAGCACAGCACAGCACAGCACCCATAAGGTAGAGTACGTTGGGGTGGCGCGCCTTGAACATTATGGCCACCTGATTGGGTGGAGAGGGTGGGATGGGGAGGAAGGAGATAAAGTGAAAGAGGGGAGGTGAAAGGGATAGGAGGTAAGACGGGTGGGTGACAGCACCCATGAGGCGGGTGGGCGGGTGACAGCACCCTCTGTACGGTTTCATCTCACCCCTGAACGGTTTCATATCATCCCTGTACGGTTTCATCTCACATCTGTACGGTTTCATCTCACCTCCGTACGGTTTCATCTCACCTCTGTTCTGAAGTCCTCGAGAGCATGCGAGCCAAGGTCCTGGTCGAGAAAGACCTTCACTGCCACGTCCTGAGGGTCAAGAGAGAGGGGAGGGGCATGGGGGAGATGGGGGAAGGGGGGAGGACTTTTGAGGTGCCTAAAAGAGCATGCGGCCCAAGTCCGGGTCGAGAAAAGGGGATGCCAAAAACGTCCTTCTCATTGAGGTGTCAAAACGTCCTTCACTGCCAAGTCCTGGGAGCAGCAGGAGGAGGGAAGGGGTGACGAGAGGGGAGATGGGGGAAGGGGGGAGGACTTCTGATCTGAGGTGCCTAAAAGAGCATGCGAACCCAGGTCCTGGTCCAGAAAGACCTTCACTGCCAAGTCCTGAGGGCAGCAGGGAGGCGGGGAGCGTAACAGAGGGGAGGGGAGAGGGGAGAGGGGGGAGGGGAGAGGAAGGAGGGGGAGGGGAGAGGGGAGAGGAGGGGAGGGGAGGGGAGAGGGTGCAGTGGACGGAGCAGGAGAGGGAGGGATAAGAAAGAGAGAAACGCCATGACTACCACATGCTGGAAGCAGCAGGGGCAAGGGTATGCGTGAGGGCACGGCGAAAGGGGAAGAGGGTCAAAGGGAGTGCGCAGCGGGGAGGGGAGTGAAAGCATGAGCGGGGAGGTTAACTTGACACACGATTAAGAAAGGGGGAGTTGGAAAGTGCATGAGATCGGTTGCGGGGTGACTGGTAAGGGGGGAGGTGGGGGGTGAATTGGTGACTTTTAAGTCGACTCAAAAGTCACTTGAGTGAATGAGATCAAGAGCGGGATGACTGGGAAGGGGGGAGGTGCGGGATGACAGGGAAAAAGGAGATGAGAGGTGGTAGGAAAGGAGGGGAAAAAAAAAAAAATGACGGAGCGGAATTGCAAGGGCGAAAGCAGAAAAAAACGCTGTGTTCGGAAGAAAAACAGGGGATAGGGCAGTGTGGGCACTCACCGATCCCTGCCACTCTGCTCGGTACACCGTGCCATATGAACCTGAGAGGAGTTGGTGGGGAGACAGAAGTAGACAGAGGGGCGGAATGCAGAGAGATGAAGAGGACGTGTGGATGAGGAGGTAAGGCAGTGTGTGTGCACAGCACAGCACACTCACCGATCCCTGCCACTCTGCCCGGTACACAGTGCCGTATGAACCTGAGTGGCGAGGCTGGGCAGAGAGGGCGGAATGCAGTGGCAGAGGAGTTGGATTGTGCGTGCAGAGGAGTGTGGTAAGAGATGGTGCGTGCAGAGGAGTGTGGTAAGAGATGGTGCGTGCAGAGGAGTGTGGTAAGAGATGGTGCGTGCAGAGGAGTGTGGTAAGAGATGGTGCGTGCAGAGGAGTGTGGTAAGAGATGGTGCGTGCAGAGGAGTGTGGTAAGAGATGGTGCCGAGAGGTTGAGGATAGTGCTGGGAGAGTGGAGATGGTTGAGGATGGTCACTCTCAACCCACCCTTTCTCCACTCCCTTCCTCGCTTCCCACTCCCCTTCCCCCCGTTTCTCTCACCTCACCTCCCCTGCACTCTCACCCCCTTGCTCTCACCTTGCCCTATTCTCTCTCGCAAGTGCATGTCAGCCCAGTCAATCTCAAGCTCCTTCATCGCCCATCGCAGCACCATAGCCCCTTCATCCGCCATCTCCCGGGCCCCTGCCGCCCCCCCTGCTCCCCCCGCCCCTCCCCGCTCCTCCTCCCCCCTCTCCTCCTCCGTCTCCCTCCCCCTCCCCCCTCTCCTCCCCCCCTTCGTCCTCCCCGTACCCTTCTCTCCCCCCTTGCCTTTCCTCCCCTTCCCCCCTTTCCCTGGCGCCACCACTCCCCACCCCTCCATAATCCCCCCTTTCCCTCTGGCGCCTCTCCCCCCTCCTCCGCCCTCTCCCCCTGCTCCCCCTGCCCCTTGCGCCCATGCGCCTTCCCCCCCTGCGCCCCCCCAGAACACCCGCTCACTGCCTGCGGGGCTCTTAAGCCATCTCCCCAGCATCCCCCCGCTGCTTCCCCCCCCTTCCGCCATTCCCCCAATCGTTCCCCCAGATGCGCCCGCTCCCCCACCTCCTCCACTCCCCCCGACGCCCCCCCTCTCCGCCCCCCCAGCACCACCTGCGGGGGGGTTGTCCCCTTGCCCCACGCTTCCCCCTACTTCCCCCCCTGCCCCTCCGCCCCCTCCCCCTGCTTCCCCCAACGTGCTAAGCCTGCCTGAGCGCCTCTCTGCTCCCCCCGCGCTCCCCCTTCCCCCTGACGCTCCCCCCTGCCCCCACACCCCCCGTCTAATCCCGCACCCACAACTGCTCCGCCCTGCAAACCGCTGCTGCGTTGCCAGGGCATAAACCGACGGCTCAGATTCAACCCCCGCCCCCCCTGCCCCTTCTCCACCCCTCCCTTCCGACCCCCCTCCCTGTGACCCTCTCCTCCCATCCCCACTCGCCCCTTGCCCCCCACCCGCCCCTGAACCCTCCCCCCTTGTCCCTGCGCCCTCTCCCCCTCCCCCTGCGCCAGGCTGCTGGGGGGAGGACCCGGGGGGGCGGGGGGGGCGCGAGTGGAGGTGCAGGCGCGCGGATTGGGCGGGGGAGGCGGACCAGGGGGAGGGGAGGTCGAACTGCAGGGGGGATCTGAGGAAGGCGGGACCTGCCACTGTGCCATCGTGAGACCGAGACGCCATCTGCCCCGGATGCCTCATCACATCTACCAACCACTCCCTGTGGAAGGGAAGGGGGGCAGAAGGTAGGGGGAAAGGAAGGGGCGATCTGAGGAAGGCGGGACCTGCCACTGTGCCATCGTGTGAGCGCGAGGCCATCTGCCCGGGAATGCCGCATCACGTCTACCAACCACTCCCTGAATGAAGAGGGGAGGGGGAAACAGAGGGAGGTGGAGAGGGAGGTGAGGGAGAGAGAAGGGCGATCTGAGGAAGGCGGGACCTGCCACTGTGCCATCGTGCGAGCGAGAGGCCATTTGCCGGGGATGCCTCATCACATCTACCAGCCACTCCCTGTGAGGGGAGGGGAGGGGGCGCGGGGGCAAGGACGAGGCGGCTGTAAAATGAACAACGTCGGGGCAAAAGAACGAGAGGAACGACAGAGGTGCGACAGAGGTGCGACAGAGGTGCGACAGAAGTGCGACAGAGGTGCGACAGAGGTGCGACAGAGGTGCGACAGAGGTGCGACAGAGGTGCGACAGAGGTGCGACAGAGAAGAGGTGGTCGGAAACGGGGCAAGGCCGAGGGGAGCAGAGCAGTAGCATGTTACACCTGCTGTGCTGGCATCATCCCTAACGGGTTCAGTCTGTCATGCTGACGTCAGCATTGGTAGACTGTAAATGCTGTGGCGACCTGTGCTACAGCACTCTGTGCACATGGCGCCGACGTCAGTCTCCGCGGTTTGCGTACCGGCTGCTGACGTCAGCCTTACCACTCTGTGCGCACGGTGCTGACGTCAGCCCTAGCATGCTTGCTCCGTACATATGTACCTGTTGTGGCGGCAGCGTGTGGCAATGAGTGCCTCCCCATTGGTTCCTCGGATCATGCGACATGGAATGCCAAAGTAGTCTGCTAGCGCCTGTGAGCGAGCAGGGGAGGGGAGGGGAGACACACACACACGCACAGCACAGCACAGCACAGCACAGCACAGCACAGGGTGGGCGAGACAAGGCTTCAGAATCTAATCAGAACCTGGTTCCTCGGATCATGCGGCACGGGATGCCAAAGTAATCTGCTAGCGCCTGTGAGCGAGCAGGGGAGGGGAGACACACACGCACAGGGTGAGCGAGACAAGCTTCAGAGTCTAATCAAGACCTAGTTCCTCAAATCATGCGACTTGAATGCTGAATTGATAAGCTAGTGCTTGTGAGAAGGGCACACGGGGATGAGAGGACAATACATACCTTGAAGAGCAGTGTGCGGTGGCGACTCAGACCCAGCTTGATGCTGCCGATAAGCATGATGGGTGATCCAGCCCGCACCCCTGCTCTCCCTGCCCTCCCTGCCCTTCCAAGCCGATTTCTGAGCCATCAAAAGAATCTCACCTTGAAGAGCAAGGCACGGTGGCGACTCAGACCCAGCTTGATGCTCCCGATGAGCATGATGGGCGATCCGGCCCGCACCCTGCTCTCCCGAGCCAGCTCCTCCCAAACCTCCTGGACAGGTTTGGCACAAAAAAGAGGCGAGCATACGGGACAAGATGAAGTTTGCGATGTGACTTACAGAGAGGAACCGAGCCAGACAGGGTTTTGGGATGTCACTAGATGCGCGGAGATGGGGAGGGTGGAAGAGAGGAGGGGAGGGGAGAGGAAGAGACAGAGGGGGAGGTTGAAGGGAGGGAGGCAGGGGGAGGGAGCGAGGGAGGGAGGGAGGGAGGGATGAAGGGATGGAGGGAGGGAGGGAGGGAGGGAGGGAGGGAGGGAGGGAGGGAGGGAGGGAGGGAGGGAGGGAGGGAGGGAGGGAGGGAGGGAGGGAGGGAGGGAGGGAGGGAGGGAGGGAGTGAATGAGGGAGTGAGTGAGTGAGGGAGGGAGGGAGGGAGGGAGGGAGGGAGTGAGGGAGGGAGGGAGAGGGGGGGTGTGGAAGAAGAGAGAAGGCACAAGTATTGAAGACAAAACAAGAGGACTGGCATAGGGGCAGGGGGTGAAGGGGGTAGTTGAGTCGCTCACATAGATCTCTTCGTCGTTGGGTACTGGTCCCCTCATGGCCTAGTTTTGAGTACTGGTCCCCCCATGGCCTAGTTTTGAGTACTGGTCCCCCCAGGCGCCTCAAAACGAGGCTGCTCGCTGGATCATGTCTAACAGAGGCAGCGGGTGCAATGAATGGCTCACATAGATCTCTTCGTCGTTGGGTACTGGTCCCCCCATTGCCTCTGCTACCACCCTGCCAGCACACACAGCAATGAGAATGGACAAGGAGAGAGAGGGAAGAGGGAGGGGTGAGGAAGGCGAGAGGGAGGGGAGAGGGAATGGAGAGGGAGGGGAGATGGGAGGGGAGAGCGAGGGGAGAGGGAGGGGAGAGGGAGGGGAGATGGGAGGGGAGATGGGAGGGGAGATGGGAGGGGAGATGGGAGGGGAGATGGGAGGGGAGAGGGAGGGGAGAGCCTTGAGAGGTCTTAAACACGGGAGTCCAAGTCCCGGGGCCTGCTGCTTTCCACGCCCTGCCGCCAGCCTATCTACCAGCCTTCTCAGACCGTCATCTTCATAGTCCACGAGAACCACGTCCACCGCCGTGTCATGCGCTGCCAGCGCGCGCAGCATGCCCAGCGTCCCACCCACCCCACCCCACCCCACCCCACCCAGCACCACGCCCGTGACCTGAGCCCGTTATCCTCCTCCAAGTCAACCAGAACCACGTCCACCGCCGTGTCATGCGCTGCCAGCGCGTGCAGCATGTCCAGTGTTGGCATGTGGCTCTGCCCTCTCCCACACCCACCCACACCCACCCACACCCTCCCACACCCACCCACACCCACCCACACCCACCCACCCCAACCACACCCTCCCACACCCACCCACCCCAACCACACCCTCCCACACCCACCCACCCCAACCACACCCTCCCACACCCACCCACCCCAACCACCCCTCCCACTCCAGCCACCCCATCCCAGCAAAATCAACCTACCTTGCAACATCACCCGCTGTGGGCTCGCCAGTCCTCTGCCCCTCCGCCTCCCCCTGCGCCCCCTGCGCCTGCGCCTGCGCCTTCCCACGCCCAGCAGCCAGCCTAGCGACGAGCTTTCTGAGCCCATTATCCTCCTCGAAGTCCACGAGCACCACGTCCACCGCCGTGTCATGCGCTGCCAGCATCCGCAGCATCTCCAGCGTCGGCATGTGGCCCTGCCCGCGCGCCTCCGCGCACACGCCCCACACCTTGGCGTTCAGAGCCGACCCAAACACCCCGTAGAACCGCGAGTCCGCCGCGTCGCTGTATTCCAGGACCTGGGTCGTCTGGTGGGGATGGTGGGGAGGGGTGGGGGGTGGTGGGGAGTGGTAGGAGGGATGAGAGCACTGACTTCACACGCCCCACACCTTGGAGTTCCGTCTGACCTGAATACCCTGTAGAACAGCGAACCCCCCGCGTCGCTGGGGTGGGGTGGGATCGGAGGGGGATGGTATCACGAAGGCGTGAGAATTGGGTCTCGTCACCAAAAGATTCTGAAACGCAGGTGTTGCCGGCGGATGTGTCGCTTAGGGCTCTTAACGCGCCCCTTCTAAGCGAGGATATCAGAAGCAAAATCCAATCGTGAATGGCCCGAAAGCGCGCCTCATTACCAGAGCGCATTAAAAAGGCCTTGGGATTCGAACCCTAAATGTGCGGGATGGGAATGCGGGAAATGCGGGGCCCGCACGAGTTAGTCGCGCGCACGCATGTATGGTACGCAGCTGCTAACCCTAACTACATCATTCCCACACAACGCCGCCGAAACTGACGCTGCGATCGCAGCGGACCGTCTGCGCTCGCCCTGAATCAGATGAAGCATTGCTCCAGCTCCCAAGGGGGGGACACACGAGATGACGCATGCTACAGTGTCTCATTGCAACAGAGTGCAATATAACGCCAAACGAGCTGCACTACAACGCACGCATTCTCGACGCGCGCGGGCGTGGGTCATCAGAACTTCGCGTTCACCCAGAACCGGGAAATGCACCGACCGCTCCAGCTCCCACAGTTTCTACTAACAGGGTACACTACAATGCTATAGGTCACACTAAAACGCGTACACGACATAGGTGATCGGAACTTCACGCTCACCCAGAAGCGGAAGATGCACCGCTCCAGCTCCCAGGGGTGCAGCTTATGCCCCGGCCGCCGCTCGTCCTCCTCCCTCCCCCGCGCGACACTTCCGTCGTCCCTCCCCGCCTTCCGCGCGCCCCCCCTCCGCCTATCCCCCGCACCAGTCACCCCCTTCCCCCGCGCGTCGAACTCCGCAAAGTCCAAACCCGCCCGCCCGGACCCGCGTCGCCTCTCGCTGGCTTCGTCTAGAAACGACGCTTCGGCGGCTAGGCGCAGCGCGAGGGCTAGTTGAAGCCGGTAGTCTTCGCCGGCGCGCTCGAAGTTAATATCATTCGACGGTTTCGCGTCAGCTACTAACGAGGATGAGATGGAAGAAGGAGCCTCGGAGACGGTAACGGATGGGACGGGGGGATGGGAGACGAGGGAAGAAAGATGCTGCTGATGCTGCTGCAGTAGCTGCTGCTGTTGATAATGCTGCTGCTGCTGCTGTAGCTGCTGCTGTAGATGCTGCTGCTGTAGCTGCTGTTGTTGATGCTGCTGCTGCTGCTGAAGCTGCAGTTGCATGTTCTGCGCAGAGCGCATCTGTATATCTCGCTGCATCGTCGCATCGCCATCTCCGCGAGTCATGGCGTCTCTATCCGCCCCTAACGGGTCGCCTATATCGGAGTACCCGGCGTCTCCAGCGTAGTAGTGCCTGGAATCAACGGCTAGATCATCCTCGAAGCTTCCATACGCTTGATGATCTCCTATCAATCGGACGGCCTCCATTTCGTCTGCGAAGGAGCTGGTCGCCATATCTGAACGGTGTCGGTTGGGCTGATCGCCGAAGTCTTTACTTGCGAGATCCATCTCGGTAGCGAATATCAGAGCTCTAGAAAAAACCTGTTGCATCACACTTCTGAAATTTATTTCCAGATAAGCCGGTACCTGGAGTTGAGAAAGTTTTACAAGAGGCCACACGAATTGGAAAAGGGTGAAAATAACTAAGTCGAGATAGGGTTAAGAGACTGGCGATCAACGGATGCGCGTGACCGTAAGAAACTGATGCAGCAGCTCTTCCAATATGAAACACGGCCGCGTTGCGACATTGAAGCGTCCGGCCGGATCAGACGGCTTCGCTTGTGGAGCAAGCTTTCTCCGTTGGTCTCGTCGCTCGCGGCAAATAAGCACCACATGCGCTGCTGCGTGGAACCAGAAAGCTCCCTATGGGGTTTTGCAGCATTTAGCCTCCGCGCGTGGGGTAAGTGGCAGCTTGTGTTTTTGTGTCTCTGTACAGAGAGGGGGAGGAGAGGAGAAGCGGGTCCTGTACACACTAGAAGCTCGCACTGCAGTCTGCTCTGCAGCAACTCTTGTTTTCTAACTTGCTCTATCCTCCACGTCACTTTCAAAGTCGACGTTGACGAAGCGTCAGGTAACAGCCTGCCCTCTTTTCTCACTCTTGCCCCAAACGAGTGATGGAGATTGGGCGGTGGCGAGCTGAACGACATTCGCAGAGAACGCGTGCGGAGTCAACGAAGCCAAGGTCGAATACAGTATTCGCAGGCCTCCCCTCCAGTCAGCGCGGCTGGCAGGCAATCCAGAACGTCCCTCCAGCAGGACACAGCGAAGCTGCCAACGGTTACGCTTCACCGAATCACCGCATTTTTCGCAGGCAGAGGCGGTGAGAGACTGGCTGCTCGTCGTCAAAGAGTGTGCCTACTTGTTTCGCAAGGCGGCTAGCGAAAAGCGCGTCTTCGCAAATACAATGGGACACGCACGCCGCATGGCGACGAACAAATGGCGTAATTGACGGTGACAACTAGGCACCACAGACGAATAGACCTCAGGACGTGGGCCCAATCGAGTTTGATCACGACTGTCCTGATCAGGTCGGATCTGATCGGGTTGCTTGTGATCGCAGTGCCCGAGCCGCCCGATCAGAGCTGTATTTCGTGGAAGCTTTTACCTTGCATTTTCGTCCCCATACCTTTCGTCCCCATTCCAGCGAGATTGACGACCAGATGTCACATCGCGAAAATTTTCATTTCCCTATAAGTGCAACATTGCAATTACTCGCAAACGTCGCTGTGGGCCCCGATCACATGCAATCGAGTGATTGCCTGTGATCGAGAAAAATCGGCTCTGATTGGGGTAAAATTGGGTCTGTTCGAGTTGGGGCGATCAGCTGATTGCCCCCGATTGCCTGAAATTGGATTCAAGGCTTCCTGGAAATTATTGATCGCGTGAGATCGAGACGATCAAACTCGATTGGGCCCACGTCCTCATGCAAATGGGTCCGATTCATGGATGAGTTCGTGATGGGATTCGATCGTTACATCGCTCTCGGAATTTAGCAACAGCTGCGATGGGATTTGGCAGCCGCTGGTTGGCCGAAATAAATTCAGGCAGCAGGTGTACGCCCGCGGCAGAATGTGTACACGCTCCAGCAATCACAATTGACCGCGGGACGCGGAAATTAGCACTGGTGCTTCCACGTGGAGCCGCAAGTCTTTTTTTTTTTTTTTTTGGGTAGAAACCTTACTAATATTGAGCATCTCAGATACAAAGCATTCGCAAACTCCAGTTGCAATTCGGCAAATTTGATAGATGTTCAGCCAGCATTGCATACCATCTGTATAAATAAATTGGCCAAAGCTCTTGTTTTGGAAGGCAGAGAGCTAATGCTTGATTTGCAGCGTGTGCTGTGTAACGTCTCACGGTAAGTTAAAGCCCGCATACAAAATAGTGACCCCCGTCCCAACTTGAAAGAGGTGTTGCGACAAAATATTTTAATGCTAAGAGAGAATGAAACAAGTCTGACAAAACACTGCTCGAAACAAAACGTGCGGGCAGAGTGAGCTCATGTGATTGGCTCTCGCCAAAATGGGATGTTGTGGCTCCCGCCAGAATGGACTTTCCCGCTCACATTTCTGCGACCAGCACTTGCACGACCGTTCCCTGGCGATGGTTTCCATCGCAAGGCCAACTTCAATATCAAGCTGGTCCTGGGTTCATAACTCCCTGATTTCTCCTCCCTTACTCGCTAGTTTTTTTCCACACGCATAGTATAGCGGAAAGCATATGTGCTTGTGTCATAGGCACAGAATTATTGACGACTGCGTTTATTCGCACGAGTGCGTGATTTAGTATTACGTAGCCTAGTAGCACAGTGCTATTTTTCCCGCCAGTAGCACAATCGTCAACCGCCGCGTCGCCGTCAGCCCATGTCGCCTTTCCCTCGCCATTACCTTCGCCCCCCCTTTACCCGTCGCACTTCGCGTACCCTCCACGTTTCCCCTCCCATCACCCACTTCGTTACATTCTCGCTCGCCCTGAAACGCCCTCTCGTCGCCCTTGCTTTCTCCCCTCCCGTCACCCACCTCGTCGCCTATGCGCTCGCCTCGAAATCGAGGCGCAATCTCGTCGCCTACCACGTCTCCCCTCCTATTACCCACATCATCGTCGTCACCCTAAGCCCGCAATGCCCTCTCGTTGCGCGCAGTCGACTCTCCTCGCCCATCGCCCTGGCGCTGGCCTTGAAACGCTCTCGCGGCTTCCTTCTTCACTCCCCTCTCATTACCCACTTCGTCGCCTTTGCGCTCGCTCTGAGCCGCCCTCCCGTTGCCTATCATCTCTCCACTCCCATCCCGTCGCCCTCGTGTTCCCCTCTCATCTCGCCCTCGAAACGGGCTCTCATCCATGTTTCCGTCGCCCTCTCTCCCCTCTTCCCTCACGTTGTTTCTCTCTGTTTTTTTCCTGGTTTTCTCAGCGTTTTTGCCGCCCTCTCTCAGGCCCAAAGTCTTCATACGCAACGACAATTTATCCTAACCTCTCTCGCTCTTTGCAGAACCTTCTCCCCTTCCCGTCACCATCGAGCTCACGTTCTCCCCTTCCCGTCACCATCGAGCTCACGTTCTCCCCTTCCCCCGCCATCGAGCTCACGTTCTCCCCTTCCCCCGCCATCGCGCTCACGTTCTCCCCTTCCCCCGCCATCGAGCTCACGTTCTCCCCTTCCCCCGCCATCGAGCTCACGTTCTCCCCTTCCCCCGCCATCGAGCTCACGTTCTCCCCTTCCCCCGCCATCGAGCTCACGTTCTCCCCTTCCCCCACCATCGCGCTCACGTTCTCCCCTTCCCCCACCATCGCGCTCACGTTCTCCCCTTCCCCCACCATCGCGCTCATCTTCTCCCATCTTCGCACCACCTTCGCGCTCATGGTCTCCCCTTCTATCACCTTCGCGTTCAGATACTCCCCTACCTTCTCCCAAGCACCACACGTTCTCCCCTCCCCTCGCCATCGCGCTCAAGTTCTCCCGTCTTCGCATCGCCTTCGCAAGCAGATTCTCCCCTCCCATCTCCCTCGTTCTCACGTTCTCGTCTCTCATCGCCTTCGCGCTCGCACCTCCCGTCCCTTCCTGTTGCCCTCGTGTTCTCCCGTCCCGTCCCGTCGCCTTCGCGCTCGCACCTCCCGTCCCTTACCGTCGCCCTCATGCCCTCCCCTCCCCAATGCCCCTCCCATCACCCAACCAGTAACCTTTGCCCCCTTATTCTCTCCCCTCGCGTCCGTGTTTCCGTCGGCCTCTCACTCTCCTCTTCCGACTCCTTGTCTCACTTTGTTTATCACCTTCTCCTGTTTGTTTTTCTCTGCATAATTCACACCCCCTAAACCCATTGCTACAGCTCTCGCTTTTTGCTGAAGGCTCAGGCGCTGCCGATGCAAGGGTTTGTCTCTGGATGCGGAATTCCTTCGACGTAGAACTGGGAATTTGAATGTGGAACAAATGTGAATGTGGCACGAATGTGAATGTGCCACGAATGTGATATTGGCACCCCTTACGACAGATTTGCCCAACCCTGCGACCAGATTCCTCGATCAAAATCGGAAAGATGGTTAGTATCAGGAAAAAAAGAAAAACTGCAACACATTACACCCTACAAACAAAACCTGTGAATCAGTATATCAAGTGGACCCAACTAGAAGGGGGGGGTCACTATTTTGCATGCGGGCTTTAAGCAAGTTCTGCACTCACACATTTTTCCCCTCTTCTCCTTAAGTTTCCCCATTTGTTTTCTCTCATTTGAAGCAAATGCTAACTTAATTTCGTAAGTGACTACATTGATCCTCCAGAAAACCTATCACTGCCACTAGCAGTACCTCCCCCAGTCCCACCTGCCCCTCCGCTCAACGAGCCTGTCACAGATGAGCCTGCCCGAGCCCTCTGCAGCTGTCTCAGCCGGAAAATATCCCGCACTGGCGGGGGATTGCGTGCCCTGGCCTCTGCATTTGCAATCTCCTCCTCTGATGGTCGATTTTGAGGAGATAGAGGGGGGCGGGTTGGGCGGAGAGGAGGGAGGGGAGGGGGGGAGGGGGGGGGGGGGGGGGGGGAGTGTGCGGGGAGGGGGGGGGGGTTGTAAAGAACGGGGAGGTAATCTGCTCATCGAGAAAATATATTGCACCTGCAGGTGCTTGCGTGAGAAGAATGTCGAAAGAACATAGTATACATAAAAACTATACATGTAGTTGGAAATGTAGTTGATACGGAGGCAAACGAGGACCCGCACCTTCCTGCTCCTTGCGCTTGCTGCCTGCCAATGGCATGGCGCCACCTGTCCTGCCACCTGGCCCAGGTGCCCCAGTGGCCATTCCAGGTGGTGCTGTGCGGTGCAGACCACCTGACTTGGCTGCTAGCGCCTCAGGTGGGAGCTCTGCTTGTATGACCAGCGACATGATGAAATCCACATCGGGATAAGGGCCTGCAGGTGGGGAGAGGGTGGGGACGGGAGAGAGGGAGGTGGCGGAGGGAGAGGGGGGGGGGGAGGGGGAGGGTGGGAGGGTGACTACTCAACACACACACGGAACTCTTGTCGCCTCAGGTGGGAGCTCTGCTTGAATGACCATTGACAATATAAAATCCACATCAGGATAGGGCCCTGCAGGTGGGGAGAGGGTGGGGACGGGAGAGAGGGAGGTGAGTGTGGGCCCTATCCTGAGGTGAAGACTCAGCACGCACACAGAACTCTTGGGTCACCTCAGGTGGGAGCTTGAATGACGAGTGACATGATGAAATCCACATCAGGATAGGGGCCTGGAGAAGGGCGGGAAGAAGAAGGGGAGGAATAATGGGGCAGGGCGCGTGGAGGAGGAGATGAAGCTGCTGAGTTGAGCCCCCACACACAGGGAGCTCCGCTTGAATGACAAGCGACATTATGAGATCTACAATCAAGGTAGGGGCCTGCACAAGGGCCAGGGGTTGGGGGAGGGGCGGGCGGGGGGAAGAGAGTGGGGAAAGGATGGGGAAAGGTAGAAGCCTGGAAGGGGGTCAGGAAGGAGAAGGAGACATAACGGTTGATTAGAAAGAGACAAGGGCCGATGGAGAGGAAACAGGGTGAAGTTTGCCGCATCAGGATAAGAAACGGGGGACGAAGGGGGAGGAGGGAAGCAGGAGGACGGAGAAGGGGAGGGGAGTGCTGGAGAGAAGTGTTCTATGGAGTCAAGCACAAGTGGTTAAAGGGAGCAGGAATGCATGCCATGAGACGGAGTGGTTTTTGAGAATTCTCAAAAACCCGCTCGGAATGCATGCCATGAGACGGAGTGGTTTTTGAGAATTCTCAAAAACCCGCTCGGAATGCATGCCATGAGACGGAGTGGTTTTTGAGAATTCTCAAAAACCCGCTCGGAATGCATGCCATGAGACGGAGTGGTTTTTGAGAATTCTCAAAAACCCGCTCGGAATGCATGCCATGAGACGGAGTGGTTTTTGAGAATTCTCAAAAACCCGCTCGGAATGCATGCCATGAGACGGAGTGGTTTTTGAGAATTCTCAAAAACCCGCTCGGAATGCATGCCATGAGACGGAGTGGTTTTTGAGAATTCTCAAAAACCCGCTCGGAATGCATGCCATGAGACGGAGTGGTTTTTGAGAATTCTCAAAAACCCGCTCGGAATGCATGCCATGAGACGGAGTGGTTTTTGAGAATTCTCAAAAACCCGCTCGGAATGCATGCCATGAGACGGAGTGGTTTTTGAGAATTCTCAAAAACCCGCTCGGAATGCATGCCATGAGACGGAGTGGTTTTTGAGAATTCTCAAAAACCCGCTCGGAATGCATGCCATGAGACGGAGTGGTTTTTGAGAATTCTCAAAAACCCGCTCGGAATGCATGCCATGAGACGGAGTGGTTTTTGAGAATTCTCAAAAACCCGCTCGGAATGCATGCCATGAGACGGAGTGGTTTTTGAGAATTCTCAAAAACCCGCTCGGAATGCATGCCATGAGACGGAGTGGTTTTTGAGAATTCTCAAAAACCCGCTCGGAATGCATGCCATGAGACGGAGTGGTTTTTGAGAATTCTCAAAAACCCGCTCGGAATGCATGCCATGAGACGGAGTGGTTTTTGAGAATTCTCAAAAACCCGCTCGGAATGCATGCCATGAGACGGAGTGGTTTTTGAGAATTCTCAAAAACCCGCTCGGAATGCATGCCATGAGACGGAGTGGTTTTTGAGAATTCTCAAAAACCCGCTCGGAATGCATGCCATGAGACGGAGTGGTTTTTGAGAATTCTCAAAAACCCGCTCGGAATGCATGCCATGAGACGGAGTGGTTTTTGAGAATTCTCAAAAACCCGCTCGGAATGCATGCCATGAGACGGAGTGGTTTTTGAGAATTCTCAAAAACCCGCTCGGAATGCATGCCATGAGACGGAGTGGTTTTTGAGAATTCTCAAAAACCCGCTCGGAATGCATGCCATGAGACGGAGTGGTTTTTGAGAATTCTCAAAAACCCGCTCGGAATGCATGCCATGAGACGGAGTGGTTTTTGAGAATTCTCAAAAACCCGCTCGGAATGCATGCCATGAGACGGAGTGGTTTTTGAGAATTCTCAAAAACCCGCTCGGAATGCATGCCATGAGACGGAGTGGTTTTTGAGAATTCTCAAAAACCCGCTCGGAATGCATGCCATGAGACGGAGTGGTTTTTGAGAATTCTCAAAAACCCGCTCGGAATGCATGCCATGAGACGGAGTGGTTTTTGAGAATTCTCAAAAACCCGCTCGGAATGCATGCCATGAGACGGAGTGGTTTTTGAGAATTCTCAAAAACCCGCTCGGAATGCATGCCATGAGACGGAGTGGTTTTTGAGAATTCTCAAAAACCCGCTCGGAATGCATGCCATGAGACGGAGTGGTTTTTGAGAATTCTCAAAAACCCGCTCGGAATGCATGCCATGAGACGGAGTGGTTTTTGAGAATTCTCAAAAACCCGCTCGGAATGCATGCCATGAGACGGAGTGGTTTTTGAGAATTCTCAAAAACCCGCTCGGAATGCATGCCATGAGACGGAGTGGTTTTTGAGAATTCTCAAAAACCCGCTCGGAATGCATGCCATGAGACGGAGTGGTTTTTGAGAATTCTCAAAAACCCGCTCGGAATGCATGCCATGAGACGGAGTGGTTTTTGAGAATTCTCAAAAACCCGCTCGGAATGCATGCCATGAGACGGAGTGGTTTTTGAAAATTCTCAAAAACCCGCTCGGAATGCATGCCATGAGACGGAGTGGTTTTTGAGAATTCTCAAAAACCCGCTCGGAATGCATGCCATGAGACGGAGTGGTTTTTGAGAATTCTCAAAAACCCGCTCGGAATGCATGCCATGAGACGGAGTGGTTTTTGAGAATTCTCAAAAACCCGCTCGGAATGCATGCCATGAGACGGAGTGGTTTTTGAGAATTCTCAAAAACCCGCTCGGAATGCATGCCATGAGACGGAGTGGTTTTTGAGAATTCTCAAAAACCCGCTCGGAATGCATGCCATGAGACGGAGTGGTTTTTGAGAATTCTCAAAAACCCGCTCGGAATGCATGCCATGAGACGGAGTGGTTTTTGAGAATTCTCAAAAACCCGCTCGGAATGCATGCCATGAGACGGAGTGGTTTTTGAGAATTCTCAAAAACCCGCTCGGAATGCATGCCATGAGACGGAGTGGTTTTTGAGAATTCTCAAAAACCCGCTCGGAATGCATGCCATGAGACGGAGTGGTTTTTGAGAATTCTCAAAAACCCGCTCGGAATGCATGCCATGAGACGGAGTGGTTTTTGAGAATTCTCAAAAACCCGCTCGGAATGCATGCCATGAGATGGAGTGGTTTTTGAGAATTCTCAAAAACCCGCTCGGAATGCATGCCATGAGACGGAGTGGTTTTTGAGAATTCTCAAAAACCCGCTCGGAATGCATGCCATGAGACGGAGACTCAGTAGGAGATCCGTGCGGGTATTCCTAGTAGGGGTTGCCAGTGAATTCCCGAGGATTTCAGCAGACGCATGCTGCATGCAACGGGTTGTATGCCTTACAAGCACCACTTTTGAGACGTCTCCAAAGCACTATGCTTTCTTTGGACACTCACCAGGTACAGGAGGAGGAAGCTGGGAGACGAAGTGGCTTTTGAGTCGACTCAAAAGTCCCCTTCTCGAGTCGACTCAAAAGTCCCCTTCTCGAGTCGACTCAAAAGTCCCCTTCTCGAGTCGACTCAAAAGTCCCCTTCTCGAGTCGACTCAAAAGTCCCCTTCTCGAGTCGACTCAAAAGTCCCCTTCTCGAGTCGACTCAAAAGTCCCCTTCTCGAGTCGACTCAAAAGTCACCTTCTTGAGTCGACTCAAAAGTCCCCTCCTTGAGTCGACTCAAAAGTCCCCTCCTTGAGTCGACTCAAAAGTCCCCTCCTCGAGTCGACTCAAAAGTCCCCTCCTCGAGTCGACTCAAAAGTCCCCTTCTCGAGTCGACTCAAAAGTCCCCTTCTCGAGTCGACTCAAAAGTCCCCTTCTCGAGTCGACTCAAAAGTCCCCTTCTCGAGTCGACTCAAAAGTCCCCTTCTCGAGTCGACTCAAAAGTCCCCTTCTCGAGTCGACTCAAAAGTCCCCTTCTCGAGTCGACTCAAAAGTCCCCTTCTCGAGTCGACTCAAAAGTCCCCTTCTTGAGTCGACTCAAAAGTCCCCTCCTTGAGTCGACTCAAAAGTCCCCTCCTTGAGTCGACTCAAAAGTCCCCTCCTTCAGTCGACTCAAAAGTCCCCTCCTTGAGTCGACTCAAAATTCACCTTCTTGAGTCGACTCAAAAGTCCCCTTCCCCCTCCCACCCCTCCCAACCACTCAAAAGTCCCCTCACCGGGTACAGGAGGAGGAAGCTGGGAGACGAAGTGCGCAAGGGACCTGGGCAGGCCCTCAAGAAGCTTCGAGGAAGCTGCAATGCCGTGCTTGCGACCGGAACCTGGCAGGGCAGGGCAGGGCAGCAGGGCAGGGGAGCACAGGGGAGTACAGGGGAGCACAGGGGCCGGCACAGAAAGAGGTCAGGTCAGGAAGCACAAGGAACTGCATGCCAAATCAGGTCAGGGCAGGTAGATTGAGGTCCGGTGAGAGGTGAGGCCAAAGAAGAGAGGAGAGGTGAGACCAGCGGGTCAGGTGAAGATCCAGCCACTACTCCCACGCATACATTCTCAGTCATTCAGTCATACACTCTCACCCAACCGCTCACCCACCCACTCACACACCAGCCAGCCAGTCAGAAACCCACTCACTCACTCCCTCCCTCACTCACTCACTCACTCAGTCACTCACTCACCAGGTTTCCACCCCACAGCAGCACTCGCCACAAACTGATGCGTCTTAACACTGCCCATGCCATGCCCTCCCCCACTACTGTAGCTCTCATTTAAAGGTGCCTCAAACACCAAAACCATCCACTCCCTCACTCACTCCCTCCCTCACTCACTCACTCACTCACTCACCAGGTTTCCACTCCACAGCAGCACTTGCCACGAACTGATGCGTCTTAACACCCGTTGCCCCTGCTGCCCCCTCCCTCTCCCCACCCCCCTTCTCCCCACCCTCCTTCACCCCACCAGCACCAGCAGTGGCGCCATCACCAACAACCGCATCAGGCCCATCCCCACCCCCTGCTTCCTCCTTCACCCGTCTAGAAATCGCCTCCTCCCCACCCTCTGTTGCTGCCCCTGCTGCCCCTGCTGCCCCTGCTGCTGCTGCGCCTCCTGCTCCTGCTGCCCCTTCACGAGGCATGAGCACAGCAGCAGCAGCAGCCAGAGCAGCAGAGAGAGAGGAGACAGAAGGGGGCGCAGGCCCTATGCCTTGAGACAGAGACACAGACGCAGGCAGAGGAGGAGGTAGGGACGATTCCTGAGGTTCTGCTTTCACCCCTGCTGCTACTTGTGCCCCTACCGCTGCTGCTGCTGCTGCTGCTGCTGCTGATCCTGCTCCTGCTCCTGTGTCTGCTCCTGTGCGTGCTGCTGCTGCTGCACGTGCTGCTGCTGCAGAAGGCACTGCTGCACCACTGCCGCTCCTTGCTTCTTCCTCCTTCGCTTCTCTTTCTGCTTTCTCTGCCGCCCCTTGACCCGCTTCCCGAACCTGATCCTCCCCTGACCTCAGCCGAGCCAGTATTTCCTTCGGACCTGCCGAGCCTGCTTCTAGGTTCGGAGGAAGAGCTGACGCGTCACACGGCAACAGGCCGCAGTAGCTAAATCGGTCTGCCAGGTCCTGCTGCTCCCGCCAAACCTCCACCTCAGGCTCGGGAGCACCGCTCGGGCTTGCCACCGAAGCTAGAGCTTTTCGCCGACCCTCTTGTGCCTGAGGAGACAGGGAGCGTGAAGCAGGAAGGAGGGTATCAGAAAGCGGGGATGGAAATGGGTTGTAGCTAGAGGAAAAAGCCCTGGATTTACCAGCCCAAGGAGGTAACCCTGAAATGCGAGAAGCATGAGATGACAGGTTACCTCTCGAAGTGAATTGAGGTCCCCAAAGAGCTGCTCGCACTCAACAAGCTCCTCCCACAGCTGAACGGTGGAGAAAGGTGGAGAAAGGTGGGGAAAGGTGGAGAAAGGTGGAGAATGTGGGGAAAGGTGGGGAAAGGTGGGGAAAGGTGGAGAAATGTGGGGAAAGGTGGAAAATTGAAAGGTGGGGAAGGTGGGAAAGGGTGGGAGGGAGGGAACAAAACAACAGAATGGGATGGCAGAGGGATACGGGATGTAGGCATCAACAGAAGAGGACACCAGTTAGGCGCCATTGAGATTATTATACGTGGCAGCAACGTGGTATTCAACACGAGTAGTTTGCAGGTAGTACTTAGTAAAAAATCTCTATAGCGTATGGCAGCGGGATGTAAGCCACAACAGACAGAAACCTCAAACCATGGGATGGCAGCCGAATCTCCAGGCACCACAGAGGAGAGCACTGACCATGGTTGCAGAGAGCGGGGGAAGGGATGGGGACGCCAGAGCGCCTTGCAGCAACTCTCTTATGTGATTGGTTACAGCAGGCATGCCAGCACAGAGGAGAGCACTGACCATGGTTGCAGAGTGCGGGGGAGGGGATGGGGACGCCAGGGCGCCTTGCAGCAACTCCCGCATGGCCTGGCCGTCGTTGAGACGACTCAAGAAGCGCGCGAACCTGGGGTGATGGGGGACGGAAAGACGGGTTTGGGGGGATGCGCAATGTGGCATGGGGAGGCAGTGTGGGAGGCATGGCATAGTGCAGTGAGCAGCAATTTTCGCATGGCCTGGCCGTTGAGTCGCATCAAGTAGCGCGCGAACCTGGGAAAGGGGAGGGAGCAGGTTGGGAAGGTGAGCAGTGTGGCATGGCATGGCATGGCATGGCATGGCATGGCATGGCATGGCATGGCATGGCATGGAATGGCATGGAATGGCATGGAATGGAATGGCATGGCATGGCATGGCACGGCATGGAATGGGGAGCAGAGCAGCAGTTCTCTCATGGCCTTGCCACGTTGAGGCGACCCATGAAGCGCATGAGTCGAGTTTTGAGTCGACTCAAAACTCCACGTTGAGTCGACCCAAGAAGCGCATAAACCTGGGAAGGGGGAGAGGTGGAAGGAGAATAGTGTGGCATGGCATGGCATGGCATGACATGGCATGGCATTGAGCACAACTGCTGATGGTGCTGCTTCACATGGTCAAGCCTGCTCACCAACCTACCCACTCACTCACCCACCCACGCACTCACTCACTCACTCACTCACTCACCCACGCACTCACTCACTCACCGACCCACCCACCCACCCACCCACCCACCTACCCAGCCACTCACTCGCGCACAAAGCCAGGCTCAGACCCAAACTTCTTCATCCCCAGCTGAAACACGTTTCGCGCCACCTGTGGTGAATGAGAGGGGGGAGCGAGCGGAGGAGGGATGGAGGGAAGAAGAAGGGGGGAGAGAGCAACGAGTAGTTAGATTGACTCACTCGCACACAAAGCCAGGTTCAGACCCAAACTTCTTCATGCCCAGCTGAAACACGTTCCGCGCCACCTGTGGGGGACGATATGGAGGAGGAGAAGGGAGGGACGATATGGAGGAGGAGAAGGGGGGGAAGATATGAAAAACTTGTTATGGCACAGCTCCATGCAAGCCAATGAGGTGACTGTTGAGTCTACAGTCACAGCCCATCACCTTGCTCTCCTTGTTGTGGCACAGCTCCATGTAAGCCGAAGCCACATACACGTGGAACGAGCACTCCCGCGCCCTCATTCCCCTCCTTGCCCTCCTTGCCCTCATCCCCTCATCCCCTCATCCCCTCACCTTGCTCTCCTTGTTATGGCACAGCTCCATGAAAGCCGAAGCCACATACTCGTGGAATGTACACTCCTGCGCCTTCATTGTTCCCCTTGCCCTCGTTAGTTCATTGCCCCCCTTGCCCTCAATGCCCCCATTGCCCACACTGCCCCCTTTCCTCACCTTGCTCTCCTTGTTGTGGCACAGCTCCATATCAGCCAAAGCCACGTACACGTGGAACGAGCACTCCCGCGCCTTCCTCGCCCTCCTTGCCTCCCTTCACCTTGTTGTCCCTGCACCCATTGCTCACCTTGCTCTCCTTGTTCTGGCACAGCTCCATGTAAGCCGAAGCCACGTACTCGTGGAAAGTGCACTCCCGTGCCTTCCTCGTTCCTCATGCCCTCGTTAGCTCATTGCCCCCCTTGCCCTCAATGCCCCCATTGCCCCCATTGCCCCCTTGCCCCACCTTGCTCTCCTTGTTGTGGCACAGCTCCATATAAGCCGAAGCCACATACACGTGGAACGTACACTCCCGCGCCTTCCTCGCCGCCAGGAACGCCTTTCTGGCCGCCTCCATGCCCTCTGTGCGGCGCAGGAAGCGCATGAGCTGAGGGAGGGAGGGGGGGGAAGGTGGGGGGGGGGGGGGGGGGAGTTTGGGGGAGGAGGGAAGGGGTTGGGGGGTTGGGGGGTTACGGAGAGGGTATATGAAGAGCGAGCACTCCCGCACCTTCCTCGCTGCCAGAAACGCCTTTCTGGCCGCCTCCATGCCCTCTGTGCGGCGCAGGAAGCGCATGAGCTGAGATGAGAGGGAGGGGGGGGAAGGGGTGGGGGTGGGGCAACGGAAGGTACCACGTGGTCTCAACACTCATGCGCCTTTCTTGCCGCCTCCACGCCCTCTGTGCGACGTAGAAAGCGCATGAGCTGAGAGGGAGGAGGGGAAAGGGAACGGGGGCGCAAGAGGAGGGAAGGGGTAGGGGGGGCTTCATTGCATGGGTTGGGCAATCATGCGCCTTCCTGGCCGCATGCATGCCCTCTGTGCAGCACAGGAATCGTGTCGTGTGCCATTGTAACGAGGTGGCTTTTGAGTCGACTCAAACATCACTTCATCGCATGGGTTGAGCAATCACGCGCCTCCTAGCGCAGCAATCATGCATGCCCTCTGTGGTGCACAGAAATCGCACGAGCAGAAAAAGGGGGAAATTGGGGGGGGTTACACATGGGATACACCAAGGGAGTAGGGCAAGGGGTAGGGGAAGGGGGTAGGGGAAGGGGGTAAGGGAAGGGGGTAGGGGAAGGGGGTAAGGGAAGGGGGTAGGGGAAGGGGTAGGGGAAGGGGGTGGGCAGGTGTTTTGAGTCAGAGCAAGGGAGGGGGTTACCTGGATGTGAGCGAGCGAGGCGGGGCAGGAAGGTTGAACTTTGAGACAGTGCAAGGGAGGGGGTTACCTGGACGTGGGCGAGCGAGGCGGGGCAGGTAGGTTGAACTTTGAGACAGTGCAAGGGAGGGGGTTACCTGGACGTGGGCGAGCGAGGCGGGGCAGGTAGGTTGAACTTTGAGACAGTGCAAGGGAGGGGGTTACCTGGACGTGGGCGAGCGAGGCGGGGCAGGTAGGTTGAACTTTGAGACAGTGCAAGGGAGGGGGTTACCTGGACGTGGGCGAGGGGGCAGCGAGTGGCGGCATCACCCACTAGCTGCTCGTATATTGCCTTGGCTGCCTGGTGGGGTGGGATGCGGTGGGGTGGAGTGGAGCGGGGCGAGGTGGTATTTGGAGGAATGGTGAGGGGTGGAGCAGGGTGGGATAGGGTAGGAATGGCTTATGGAAAATGGTAATGATGGCAAGCCGTCCGTTCCTTTCCCCAGCCGATTCTGCCCTCACCACCACGCACGCACCCCCTTGTGCTTCTTATCCCAGCCAGCATCACCCAGTCGTTCGTTCTCAGCACCACACTCACATAACCCTCGCCCCTCCCGCAACTATCGCCCCTCCCGCAACTATCGCCCCTCCCGCAACTATCGCCCCTCCCGCAACTATCGCCCCTCCCGCAACTATCGCCCCTCCCGCAACTATCGCCCCTCCCGCAACTATCGCCCCTCCCGCAACTCTCGCCTCTTTCCTCTCCGATTCCCCCACCCAGTCGTTTTCGGCCCCGGCCGGCCTTTCCGAGAACTTTCCCCCCACGCCCTGTTACATTGCCCTTCCTTCCCACCTGCCCGTCTCTCTCCCGCCCGCCCGTTTCCCACCCACCTTAACGTTTCCGTTTCGTTCCTCCTCTTCCGCCTTCGCCGCCGCCGCCAGAAAGCTACCTGCGCTGACGGAAACCGTCACAACCCGTGTGGACGAAAAACGTCACAAAACGCGTTCGAATGGAAAACCTCCGAGCAAAGAATGATGGTGAATTTTGATCGGGTCCTGTGACCAGAACAAGTAATTTTGGAAGGCCCAGCGACGAATGCGGCGGGAGATAGAACAGAGAGGAGTGTAACTCTCACCAGGAGGCGGGAATGCTGACGACGCAGCCATCGGCGCGCGCTGGAACGAATTTTTAGTCGCCTCAAAAATCACCTCGGCGCGCAGTGGGAAATGTCTGGAAACCGGAAGCCCAACGGGACGTGTGCAATGACTTCGCAAAGGTACATGCGGTCTGTTTGGTTTCCGTGACGGTAACAGTTGTCGGCGAAAACAAAACGCCGATGCCGGGGATCGAACCCGGATCTTCCGCGTGACAGGCGGAGATACTGACCATTATACTACATCGACCCGTCGAGAATCAAAATTTATTTTATATATCCTGTTTATTTTGATCGTGTCAAGGTTTGGAATGTGATGGCAGCAATGTTCTGAATGTGATGGCAGCAAGGTCTGGAATGTGATGACAATGACGCTCTTTAATATCCCGAAATTGTAGTCCTTTGATTAACTTGTATGCTCTTGTTTTAAGGTAAAAAAATCATCCTTATATTCAAAATCATATATCGTTTGATAGAGAGCTTGCAATTACAACCATCTTCCGTATCATATTCCACTTCCACCATCACCTGCATGTTTGCTTGAGGGCCAAGTCACACTCAGAGATTGTTAACGTACACCTAGTCCGCGGTATTTTAACCGCCGCTATCTTAACCATGCGGGGGTACTACTCCGTGGTCAAGTTTGAATACAAGGGTAGTTTAACCAATTTATGAGGGTAGAGTTACGCGTCCCCTTCGCGAGGTCACGTCAGTTGCAACTCTTATGATGGCAAAGCGCCCCCAATTTCGGAGCACTAAGTGTGGGTTTTCCAAAATAGAAGTGTCCCGGCTGTATTCTAATAGTCCCGAAGTCTCTGGGTGCCCATCCCACTGGACGAAAATGCACACTGGATGTTAAAAAAAAAAGTTCACGTGGTTAAAATACCGCGGACTAGGTGTATGATGAGAGGCCTGTAATGACGCCTTCATTGTGGAACGACCACGTGGCTATTCTCACGTGGAAGAAAGATGCCACCTAGTTCCCAAAAAACAAGACTTCGTGGCTCCCGCTCGATTACAAATTATCTGGTGGCTGACATGCGCGCCGAGATTTTTACACCGTGTCTCGCATCATTCGCTTGCTTCTCGAAAGCGAACGATTCGCAACCATTCCGTGTATAGTACTACAGTATCTTCCACCAGCTGTCGAGTTGATGGTTGCGGATGAGGGATGCAACCGAAGGTCTTTCCATTTTGTCGTTTCTCAGTGTTTCTTATGGCTCACGTTCAATTTCGCGACAACGTGAGCAGTGCAACAATTTATTGCCTGATTTTATGCAGTGAACCTGCACACGACATCCGCGAAAGGAGGGGAGAAAAAAAATCCACTCATGCCACAGAATTGTAATGCGCGCTTCGAAACCCATACATGTCCGTGGACATCGGCCAAATTCCTAATTTTATCATTGCCGCGCTGCGCTGCCCCTCCACACTGAAGCTACAGTTCACTGCCCCTCCTCCCGTCCCGTCCGTCCATCCATCTCCCCTCGCCTCGGAATTTCAGCAAATTTCTCTGCAATTTGCAATTTACGCAACACACAGCCGTTCCTTTGCCTTGCTTCTCCTTTCTCATCCTCTAACACGACAAGTTTTGCTGCTTGCCCATCCATTGCTGCTGCCCCTTCCGCGTATTGACATTTCGAGTGGAACCTGTGCAGAACGTCATCGTGGTCGTGCGACCGCTCCACGTCAGGGTCTTCCTGGACGAGCTGTGTTTGCCATTCTTGCACAATCTCGTCTCGGACATTCCACCACCTCCGAGCGACGACCTCCAGTGTTAGTCCCAATCAGCCCACTCGATCCCGAGTTCTTAGCAAGTCAAACGAACAACTCGTGAGTCTACTCGTCCGTAGCTCTCCCTGCGAACGAGTACAGCTTCGTGAGTGCGAGAACAACCACAGTCTGGTTGCCTCTCTCTCTCACCTGCAAGGATGAAGCCAACGGGTAAGATCCTCGCGATGCTGATCGCGCCCGACACCAACGTCGCGCCCGCCTTTTCGCAGCACCAGTCCGTCTCGACGCGCCGCAGCTCCTTCTCGCGTCGCAGCACGTCGTCCCTCATCGCATGTCCACAGCCGCTGCACCACACCGACCCTTTCGCCAGCAGCTCCGTCGCCAACTCCGCGATTCCATCGCACGCGACCCACTCCTTCGCCACCCACTCGCACGCTGCGTCGTCGTTCCCGGATTTCGCCGGCTATGGTAACACGGCGACAGCGGGATTCTGCAGCCATTCGCGAAGGTCGTCCTTTTCGTCCACGGGGCAGCTCTCCCTCGCCGCACCAGCCGCCGCCATCACCGAAGCCCTTGAGACGCCGCCGCCGTCACCGGAATGCACGCCGCCAACTGCGGCGCCGACGGCGCTTCCCGAATCAACCGTCCAGGCGATCACCGACGAACTCAAATCCGCATCCGCCGCCGCGGAATCCGCCCCTAAGTCCGCGGTAGTTAACGCGGAGGACGCGCGCAAGCGCGCGATGGACGCCGTGATCGGCGCGGGGTACTGGGAGACGGAGTTCCTCGACCGTCTGATGTTTCTCGAGGCAGATCCGACGTTCACCCAGCTCCCAGCCGACCAGGTTCACCAGATGAACTTGTCCCAGGAACTACCTGCCCCTCTTGAACTTCTCGCGCTCGGGCTCGGCGCGGAGGTGGTATCTGAGGAGGCGGTTCGGAAGGACCTCCACGCGGCGCGCATGCGCGTGGTCGACGCGCTGATGGAGGCGCAGCATCTGGAGCGCGTCGCGCAGATGTACAGTTACAGCGCGGACGCCGCCGCGGCGTCTGACATCGGCGGCGCCGCCGCCACCGCCGACGTTAAAGTTGCCAAGTCTCGCACGCCCGCGCCGCGCGCGGCAACTGCGGGGACTAAGTCCGATGGCTCAGCTCGTAGAAAGGTGCCCAAGGGAGGCAAGGCCGCGGCAGCGGCGAGTCCCAAGGCAAAGAAGGCTTCCCAGGAAGGTTCCGCAAAGCCTGCGGAGAAGGGTGGAGAGCTCAAGGCTGCTCTGAAGAAGTCGCCTGCTCTGAAGCAGTGGCTCAAATTCGCAGCGACTATCTGAATCACGGTGATGATAAAGCTGGTATATGTATCCGCACTAACTTATTACCGTATATCTCGCTGCCCGAATGCAGTGGCTCGTAACCATCTGCCTCCACCGTTTTGAAAGCTGAGATTTGCAGCAGGTGGTTCAGAGTGTACTAGTGTGTGTGTGCGTTAGTGAGTGTGCTAGTGTGTGTGTGCCGTGTGCGTGTGTGCGGGGAATAGATTAATGGATGCATTTGTTCATACCTTTCTACTAATTCTGCCAACCATTAGTGATCATGTGAATCTTAAACCCATCACCCACAGTCAACAGATGCAGCACTTTATAATGAACCTGCGTGCAATATAAGCTCCTTACACGTCATGTTGTTGAACATTTACCATCCACCGACACGTCCTCAATCTAAACCTACAGACACAGTAACTGTAGTGCTCTCAGTGCACCATAACTACACGCCTCCCCACCACTTCTTCAGCCTACCTCTGCTTCCCATGCCAGCCCCTCCCCCATCTTCCCCAACCCTCCCGCTGCCACATCCCCTCGCGCACGCTCCTCGTTCTCTGCTGCCCTTCGCACCAACCCAGCATCCCAACAGCCGGCAGAAATTCCTTGAAAGCTGCTGCCGAGGGGAAGACGGAATGTCAGATTTCATCTTGCTGTCCGCTTCATTGCAGGTCTTTCTGTCCCCTTCAGTGTCCTTGGGAAAAACTGCAGCGTCAGACCAGGTCTTGCTGTCAGCTTCAAATTTCTCCCCAGGACAAACCGCGGTTACCGATCCAGCCTTGCCCCCCTCTTCCCGTAACAACGTTTGCGAACAATAGGACATTTGAACCGTCCAGGAGCTTTCTTCTCTGCTAGTAGGCGCCGCTCGCAGTACTGCCATTGCTTGCTCACCGGCAGCAATCGAGCATTTCGACAAGCCTTCTTCCTCAAGATTGGGGTAAACTTGTGAATTTATGAACAATGTCGGCTGCGTTTGGCCTGTGGCAGCAGCAGAGCATTCTGACAAGCCTGCTTCATCCGAATCCAAGGACAGGTTCTCAAACGAAACCTCCAACGTTTCACCTGCTGCTGCACCAGCACCTGAAGAAGCACCTGAAGAAGAACCTGAAGGGACGGGCATTCTCCTTCCCGTCACAGACACGTCTGCCTGGCATCCCTTGTCGGCAAGTGCTTGCTGGGACAGAATTTCCGCTTGCCATGGGTCTACTGGCGTGACGCGGGTCGAAGAGGAGGGAGGGCGGCTCGCGGCGGCGGAAGCGGAAGGGGAGGGAGAAATGGGGGAAGGCGCGGCGGTAACGCAGACGGCGGATTCGGAGAGGCGCCTGCTGCGGGAGAAGCGGAAGAGGATGTGAGGGGGACGGACGGCGGGGGAGGTGGGGAGATGCGCGCGCGAAGGGGAGAAGAACGAGGGGCTGCGGCGGCGCGACGAGGAGATCGACGGGGAACGGCGCGCCAGGCAACGAGGTTCCGCAATGTCGCTCTCGTCGTAACCCGTTTCGAGGAAGTCGTTCTCCCTTTCGCAACTTTCGCCACTCTCGCAACTTTCGCCGACGCGAAAAAGCGTCTGGAAGTACGAGGAGGTAGACATTCGTCGCCCGGAGGCGAACCCCGCGCGCTCTGCTGCTTCCCCCATCCAGTTTCGCTCCGGAGACGCATCCAGCGCGGAATAGCCACCGCCTTCCCCCCACATGCGCGAGCCAAACTGCGCGGAGAGCCGCCCCTTGGCGTCCGCGGGGGAGAAAAAGGAGGGGGAAGCGGGCGCGGCGGCGGAGCTGGTGCTGCTGCCGCGATCTAAGCTGCGGTAAGAACACAGATTGTCGGATTCGGAAATCCCGCCGGCGATTCCCGAGAAAAAGGAGGGTGAGACTTGAATGCCTTGATCCGCGCTGCGGTCTGCAGCGCGATCGGCGGCGCAAAACTCGCCGGACGAGTCGACGAGAGTTGAAGGGGATGAAAGTCGCGGGCAAGCTCGGAGCGCCTCTGGTGTTTGTCTTCTGCTGGATTGGTGGAAAAAATGGCTGTTGATGTGGGCGCTTCCGAGCTTCTGTCGAGACCCGCCATAACTGAAACTCCGTCTACCCTTCATCTTCACGAGCGTGTTACGCGCCAGGGCAGGCGGTACGAATGCAGGAATTTTCCAAAGTGTGTAAGCACCGCGATTTTTTTTTAAGATTGTCGGACACGGCTTCTGAGGCGCCCTTAGAAATCGGAAGACTTGAAATGCCGTATGAAAAAGGAGAGTCGGGAGGTATCAAAAGAACGAACTGCTAAGAAACCTACTAGTAGTACTACCTCGACAAAGGCGTCACACAGGTGGTTACGCTCAGATATTTTGAGAATCTCCCGCAAAAGCTGGCGCCGCTCTGCCTTGCTGGAGTGACTTTGCCAGGAAATCATAGGCTGCATTCGCGCGGTGGGTAGGCGAATGGCTGTGAGCAGGAGCCTCCAACGTTACCCAGTGGGAAGAAGAGAGATCAAAGCGATGTAAAATGTATGACCATGTCTCACAGCATCATTTACATCTGTTAGCACCGCCGTATGCTCTCCATTTGAGTTATGTTGATGAGTGAAGCGAAGGCAGGTGGAGGGCGCTAACCATTCTCTTAGGTTGTGGTACCTGTCACACGGGTTATTGTAGTGCAACCATTTTCAGCACGGTACGCTTCATCAAATTTGTGGAATAAATGCGGAATGGGATAAAACAGAGTACGATTATGCATTCCAATTTCATGATTGGCTAAAGTAAAAGTGCAAAGCCGAGTACTGTATGCATCGGTGCACCAGTGAGGGAACGGGAATTGAAAAGGAAATTACTGTAGTGTGCTTGTGCGAGTCTGTGGGAAGAGTGACTGAATCCAGACTGAACTGAAAACTCTTGGGCAGCGGTGCCTGCGATCTCGAGGATTAAAGGGAGTAAATCCACACTCGGCAGCAAGAGGAATCGAAACAAGAGGAGCACTGAGGGGAAGCAGCAGAAGCGAGTATGCTCGGTCAGTTGATTCGCATTCTGGAAACAGAACCTTCTAGCTGGAAAACGGATGATGCACACCTGTAGTGTATCTGTATTTCTCTATTTTGCTGCCCGGGTCCTTCTTTAGGGAATGTCCAGTTGCGAGAAAGCTGGCAGAACAACTCACCATTCCCATTAAAGCGACGGTGCACATTTGCCACCCAAAACCCAGAACCCTGGCGAACTGTTACTGCGGATGGAAAGTGTCCGCACGAAATCCTGGTTTTCGCCAGCCAGCACTTTCGCGCTGGCAAGCCTGGTTAAAAAAAAAAACTTCTGAACCCAACACTGCCAAAAGTTGCCCGTCGCTTTAATGAAAGAGCATTGCGTGTCTCGTGAAACTCGGTACACCCTCTTTCTCACCTCTCTCACCGGCGGAAGCACTGGCTACAGTGTTTGGACGTAGCGGGCTGGTGAGATAAGTCGGTTGCGGGCAAAGTCGCACGAGGGTTTGAAACACGCCTTGGGCCGTAAAAAACCATTAACGTTGAATAACCGTCCCGACCGCTTTGAAAACAACAGTACCATTGTAGAACGTAGAAAACCTTGACTAAACGCCCTGGGTCAAATTGTCACTGTAACGCATGTGATAGGACCTTCTTTGGTCCGGTGCGGCTACACTAAGCGTCTCGGTCAGTATAACATATGCCAGTCTATCGAGAAAGAGGGTGTAGCAATGTGCACGTCTCATTGGTTTTCATGTTCCAAGATATCTGGAACCCTGTGTGAAGACCAATGATCGGGTGTGTTTACACGTCATTGAGGGTCATTTTGGGGTGAGGTCTCCGGACTTCGCCCGGAACTGTGACCTCAAATTTCTCCAGGTCCACTGATGCGCGCCACCGCTTTTTTCAAAAAGCGAGGTTGGGTGGGGTGCGTGTGTCGCAACACAAGCCTGGGTGACGCAAAAAAGAGTAGAGTCCACCTGAGGGGAAATGGGCTCCACACAGCAGCGGGTGTACAGTACCTCTCACCGACAACAGACAGGTAGAGTCATTTCCCTTCTGCGTGGTTGGTTGGTTCCCTTTCGGGCTCTCGCGAAAAGATAATATCAAATGTTTGCTTTGATGGTGTTCCGCAATTCAGTGCACTTTTGCCGCCCTCCTGAACATTGGCTTCTGGGCTGGGGGGCAGGTGCACTTCGCCAGCTTTAGTTCAAAATCCCCCTTCACCCAGCCCCTAATTGAACAAAGCGTTGTGAGATTCTATTAGAGTGCAATTGAGTGATCTAGCTAGAATTGCACTATCTAAGTTGCACTCGGCGACGGGCCTGGCGCCGAGGTTGGGAATTGCCGAGGCGGAGGACCGGAGCACGGGTTACCAACCGAACCGTGAGGTTGGGTCGCGTCGTGAACAGTGGCAGGAATAGTGTCGAGGTGAATGTCGCGAGTGGTAACGGTTTACTGTTGGGTGCTGTTGGCGGGAACAGTGATGTACGCGCTGAGCAGGGACGCGAAGTAAGGAAAAGGCATTTTCCTTACACTACCCCCCCCCCCCCCCCCCTAAGGAGGTCCTCCTTACGAAAGCGCGTGTACGTCCCGGAAGTTTCGGTTTCGCAGGTACTCTATGAGGACATGGTGGTTTTCAATTCTGTCCAGGGGAACCCAGTTGTCTTCGGTGGGTGTGCGGTCTCTCCAGCGGATCAGAAACTCGATCTCGGTGGCTCAGAAATTCGAGCTCCTCGTGGGTCACGAACTCGGTGGCTCAGAATTTTCTCGGGCGTGATGATTGGCTCTGTCGGCGGTCGGGTCATGATGGCTGGGCGGTTGCGGGGCAGTTGGCTGGTGGATGGTACGTAGGGGCGGAGTAGGCTGACGTGGAATGACGAGCTGACGTACCAGTCAGCGGGGAGGAGGAGGTGGGCGGTGACGGGTGTGATCATGTGGCTGATGCGAAATGGCCCACAATATCGAAGGCGGAGTTTTGGGGTAATGGGTGCGGAGAGTCACTCTACAACGGTAGTGAGCTAGACTACGGGGGTTGGCACGGACTACTAGGAGTGATCGTAGCTTTGCTCAGTTCCTTCGTGCTTGCGCATTCACGGGAGAAATCGGCAAGAGTTTCCACTAGCAAAGACGAAAATTACAGAATGGTTCAACAAGCAATAGCAACAATTGGCCCGATTTGCCTCGTTGGGCATCCGTCGGCTGTTGTCTGCGCCTAGCGAGCCACATCGACTTCGGGATACCAGCCCGAAGTCGCTTGCGCCATTGCGACCTTGACGACGTTCGCGTGCCTCCGCAGAACTCGTCGAGCAGGTTACCCGGTCGACCTAATCGACCCCCAGGTGCTCTGGTCGACCCCCAGGTGCCTCTGGTCGACCACCAGGTCCCTATGGTCGACCACCAGGTGCCTCTGGTCGACAACAACTCCCGTCGAGCTACCCCCTGGTCGACGGACCCCCTTCCGTCGACCAGAACAGTCAGCGGTTGTCGCCAAGCTCCCCTCGTCGTCCGCTGCTCACTTGTCAGGTCGACGGACTGCTCCGTCGACCTCCCGGTCAAACTGCAGGTCGACGGACTGCTCCGTGGACCTCCTGGTCGAGTTACAGGTCGACGGGCTGCTCCCTCGACCTCCCGGTTGAGCTGCAGGTCGACGGGCTGCTCCATCGACCTCCCGGTCGAGCTGCAGGTCGACGGGCTGCTCCATCGACCTCCCGGTCGAGCTGCAGGTCGACGGGCTGCTCCATCGACCTCCTGGTCGAGCTGCAGTCGACGGGCTGCTCCATCGACCTCCCGGTCGAGCTGCAGGTCGACGAGCTGCTCCGTCGACCTCCCGGTCGAACTGCCCCTCCTAGTCGACGGCCCACCCGTCGCCCAGACCAGTCAGTTGCAGCTGTCGAGCTCCTTGGTCGACAGCAACACCACAGCGGTCCCCTGCAGCTCGACGATGCCTGTCGAGAAGCTCTCCCACTGTGAACGGTCGGCTGCTACTCCCGTACATCCGACCAAGTCGTCGGCGTTGCCCAAGCGAGGGCGGGGCCAACACTCCATTCCTGTTAACAATGGGCAGGCGGAGGTTCTGGGTGTCGAGTAAAACGAGGTCGTCGGGCTGGTAAGTGACAGGTCGGCGGTGGCGGTCGGCGTTGCGTTTAGCGATGATGTTTGATTTTTTAATTGCGTCTGCTGCTCGGGTCCGTGCTGCTTGTAAAATTTCGGCGAACTATTGCGCTCGTGGCACCGGGTTGTCGGGATTCGGGGTCATGGGTACTGTCGGGTCTTGTCCGTAGTTCAGGTAGAACAGTGACTGTTGGGTCGTTGCGGATGGCGAGTTGTTGTATGCGAAATCGATGAGTGGCAGCTGCTGTTCCCAGGTGGTCGGGTCGTCGCACGTGGCTCGTATGAGTTGCTCCATGGTCTGGTTTGTCCTTTCCGTCTGTCCGTCGGTTTCGGGGTGGTACGAAGAACTAAACTGTAGTCGCGTGCCAAACTGCTGCCACAAGTTCCGCCAGAAGTTGCTGGTGAATTTCGTGTCGCGGTCGCTGATGATCGCTGCTGGTATCCCGGGTAATCGAACGACGGTGGCGATGAAGAGGCGGGCTGTTTCTTCGGCTGTGATCGATTTCTTGCAGGCTGCGAAGTGTGCCATTTTCGTCAGCCGATCGACGACGACCAGGATCGCGTTGTTCCCACTCGCTCCGGCCGGTAACCCCGTGACGAAGTCCATCGTCACCTGCTGCCAAGCACGCTCTGGGGGTGGTATCAGCTGCAACTGTCCTGCCGGCCGCTTCCGTGATGATTTCATAAGCTGGCAAGTGGGACACGATGCCACGTGTCGCTGAACGTCGGTCAACATTTCGGGCCAGTAATAATACCGTTGCAGCTGCTGCCATGGTTTTTCTACCCCGAAATGTCCCGAGGTAACTCCGTCGTGTGCCTCTTGTAACAGTAATTCCCGTTGTAATGAATACCCTGGTACCCAGATGCGGTCGGTGCCGGCTTTCACGTAATAAACTCCCTTTGCTGCTGCGAACTGCTGCGATTTCCTCCTGTGAAGAATGGATCTGTTTGGTACCGGTGGGTTCATAGTTCTGTCACTAGTGGGCTGGTTTGGGCAAGTAGTATCGTGTGGATCTT